ATTAGAACTAGGGGGCAGGTTTTCACTAGGAAAGCACTTATTAGGCGCTAGTTTCTGCATAATTTACTTAATTGAATAATTCATTTATTCATCAAATATTTACTGAGTGATTAACACAGGCCAGACAGTCAAGCACTGGGGACAGGGTGATGAATATGGTAATTATGGTCACTGTCGGCGTGAAGCTTCAGTCTACTGGATGATTTACATTAATCACAAAAGACAAAGCAGGGCAAGATGATACCCAAACTACAGCATTCTGATTTCACTCCCCAGCTCATAAAGGATCCCCTGGCTCAAACGTTCACTCTGAGGAATGCATTTCCCAAGCCACGACTTTAAATAAAAGATAAAACTTTTATCACCAGGGAAATACCGTGTCCTGTTAATTTTAAAGAATATATATATATATTCCTTAAATATATATATATATATATTCTTGTATATAATATAGCAGTATCATACAAGTTTAAGGTAAAAGTAATTTATGTGTCTTAGAAATAGTAGAATAAAATTAAAGAGACAGATTACATTAAGAAGGCAAGAAACTTCATAGAGTCAATCACCAATCAACTTCAAAACCTTCTCATTATTGTTACTTATAATTCTCCCTGAGCATATAAAGAAATGGATGGAAACTTAAGTTTGTTCTAAAGTAAACTGATTTTACACCCTGGAGCGCACATGAAGCGGTTTCATAAGTGGCGCGCTGAGTCTGAATATAGGGCCTGGCCTCCAAAGGGAAATGAAAGAGGTCAAGCTTGGCGTCTGCAGAATGAGACAACTGTAAATTCTCTCAGGCGGTGACAAAGAGAGAAGAGGAGGTGCTGCAGTCCACAAAGTGGGTCAAGAGCGGGGGGAGGGGCTGCCAGGACTCCAGCCCCCCTCATCTCAATCCTCTCAACTTCCAATTGTTGAGGAACTTGGCCTTCCCTATACTAAGTGTGACCTTTCGTCTTGTATTCAGTAACAAGGTACTAGTAAGCGGTTCTTGAAAGAAACCACAGTATTAGAATTATTATTCTGAAGAGGAATGCAAATGCTGGCACCCAAACAACACTGTCTTTGAACAATCATGAATAAATTTTACAGACAGACGCTAAAATCCCAAATCTTCTCTAACAATAACTGTCAACAGAGAGGGCTGTGTCTGGGAACATTTTTGGACCTCCTATGTTCTGTTTCCTGTAGTGTGGTCCTGCAGGATAAATCTGGGGCATTTTAAGATATGGATGATCTGGGAGAAATGTAACAGGGTCATGGCAAGGATAAGTGTCACTATTCTCTTGGATGTGGCCTATTTTGTATCGACTTAATATCCATCTCTCCGTCCATCCATCCATCCATCCCTCCATCCATCCATCCATCCATCCATCCATCCATCCATCCATCCATCCATCCATCCATCCACCCACCCACCCATTCAACTCACAAACTCAGTCATCCATCCATCCATCCATCCATCCATCCATCCATCCATCCATCCATCCACCCACCCACCCACCCACCCATTCAACTCACAAACTCAGTCAGTCATCCATCCATCCATCCACCTATCCACCCACTCATCCATCAACCCAACAACTCACTCACTCATCCATCTATCCATGTATCCATCTATCTATCCATCTGTCCATCCATCCACCATCTTTTTGAAAAAGAGTCTCACTATGTAGCCCCAGCTGGCCTGGAGCTGTCTTTGTAGACCAGGCTGGCCCCAAACTCACAGTGCTCCCCCTGCCTCTGCCTCCTGAGTAGTGGGACTAAGGCAAATGACACCACACCTAGCCACATATTTTTAAGCTTTTGCAGGAGTTATAACCCCCTGAAGGAAAATGGCTTTAATTGAGTTTTAAAAACCGAGTTACTAGTTTGGACAAATACTGGAGGGATATGAGACTTCACAGAGTTTATAACTGCAGCTTTAATGACGCTGTAAAAATGTCACTTGGTCCGCCATACATGAAAACTATAGTTCTTTAGGAAAAGCTCTACAAATCTTTCCAATTTAGAATGTTTTCAATGTAACATGATTACTGTATCCATGGCATCTTGCATCACTAATTCAAACATGCTCAGAAGTATCTTGCAGGACACTGATGATCTGACCCTTTATAAAGCACATTTCTAAAACAGCCGCGCACAGATGTAACATGATACAGTTTTCAGACTGTATTCAGTGGAGCCCAGAGTCCTGGGAAGCCCCTCATGGACCACCACGAGCAAGGTGGAGGCAGAGGGGGAGAACTGTAGGGGCTTCTCTTGCCCTCAGGCTAACTGGAGCAGCGCGGCTATCATCAGTTGCATACTTTAGGATTGAGCCAGTGTCTTGTTTGGAAAATGGACTCTGCTCTAAAAAGAAAGAGAAAAGCAAAAACCACTCTCACAGTTTAAAAATGAACTGCCTTCGACTCTCAGTCCAATACCACCGTCTACATGCTAATGGATTCCAAACACGTAAGGACCAGAGTGCACAATCTGTGTCTCAGCCAAAAAAACTAAGGCGGATGAAATAAACACCTAAGGTGGCCTCTCTGTTCAAAGTGTCCCACTAGGCTGTTTGCAAGGGGGCGGTAACCGCAGCTTCTGAGTGTGAATCCAGCTGGTTTTAACAGAGAGGGGACATTCGGACACATAGCAGAGCCATCCTGCTCAGCCTCACACGCGTGAAAACCCTGCAGTCCTCAAGGGAATGGGACTGGCTGGCAGAGACACTTTCCAGAGAAAAGAACTCAGGCACCTGGACCCCTGTGTTATTGTCCCCCAACTTTGCCTAGTCCCCAAAGACTACTATTGTCCTGTATCTGGCAAAACAATCTTTAGAGAGCCATTTCAGACCAAGAGAGCGGGTCCTTCCTCGAAGTTCCTCACCTAGAGAACCTGTGCAGAGCACGGTGGTGTCTAGAGGCCTCAGGGAGCTGTCCTCATTCGCTTAGCCACCCTGTGGTCTAGCTGCCTTAATCCTTCAGTGAGCATTAGTTAAATGAGAGCCTGAAGGAGAACCCCATGTTAGGAGTAGGAAAGCATACAAAACCCGCAGGCTGGTTGAGGATGGGACCCTGTCTCCCCACACATCTACATTTTAGATTTCTCAACATGTGGCTTATCACACATGTTAAAAATCAGTTAGCTTTAAATTCCTTTATTTTTCATTCTTTTAAAAGGCAGTCTTACGGAGGTTTCTGTATTTGTATACTAGCTGAGTGTGTGTGTGTGTGTGGGGGGGGAACACGGTCCCAGGAAACTTAAATTTTAATATAACTCACGATCGCCATCTGCTGGACAAATATTGAATGTGTATCCCAGTTAAAAGGTGGATTTTTTTTTTATCATAGATGTGTATCATCTAGGTGTCTTCCCCTTAAATAATAAATAATAAGCATAAAGGGGCATATAATATTTCTTAACTCATGTAATAAACCAGATACTAGCCGTAAGGTGATTGCAGTGTATTATGGAGACAGAAGACTACCTTGAGTTTTATGTGGCATCGGCATGGGTCAGAGAAAACCACCGTAGCTAGAACAAGATGTTCCCTAGTGTTACATAAAGGGAAGGGTTGTGGGGAGTGGAGTGGGATGGGTGTGAGTGAAGAGGAACGAGTCCTGGGAGGTCTTGGTGCTAGTTGCTTTCCAACCCAGGAAGTACCTAGTTTCACGGCACAGAGGAAAAAAAATGTCAGCCTCATCCACCTGCAGGCATGACCAGGTGGACCACACCTTGGAGGCTCCCTCGATCCCATGCTGATCCCACACTGAGGGAATCAGGTAACTGGGTGGTGACTGAGTGGCAAGGTCAAGCTAGAGCGAGGGCCCTTGAATACATCAGAGCACAGGGCTCTGGCTAATCCTCTCTTGAACTCTGTGCCTTTGGTTCAGGGTCTTAGCCTCTCAGTCACCTAGATTTCTTCATCTGGAAGTAGGGACAATTGGTTCCTACTTACTAATTAGTTCCCAGCATGCTAGCAGATGAAAGTGCACTACACCACTAGTACACAGTAAGGACTACACAAAAAGCTTGCTGTCAATCATCCAGGACACAGGAGGTCTTGCTGCCGTATCAGGCTATCTACCACCATCAGCCTGAACGGACCTGATTTCTTTAAGCATAAAATCAAGGTATTTGACAGAAATGGCGAAGGACACAGTGGGTGCAGCCCAATGCAGCTCCAGTGCAAGAGAAGGCACCAGGTTCGCTACAAATCCTCAGAGCCGCATCATTTCATATTTCATAAACATATCAATAATAAATGTATGTGTTGTGTCTGTGCTTGTATATGTAGATCTCTCTCTGTGTGTGCATGTGCAAGTGTATGTGTCCATGTTCACGCTCACGTATTTTCTCATGTATATGTGCCTGTATGTATGTCCCTATATGTGTGTCTGTGTGTGCACATGACCCAAGTCTTCAGTGATACAGAAGCAATGACATATATTGGTCAGGAGTTCAAATCATGACACAAAACTAGGAACACTGAGGATCTATACACAACAATACCTAGTCCTTGGGCCCTTTCAGCAAGATTTTGGACCATAATTAAGATTTGCTGGTTGCTGATCTTGAGGACCAACCGTTAAGTCTTGTGAATACCTGAATGGGGGTTAGAAAGACGCAGGGAGAAAATAAAGTGAAAACAGGCTCCCTGGGATTGTGACTTCTCGTTCCCAGAAAGCACTGTGAGGAGAACTTGGCGACTCGGAGGGCTAATAAGGAGAAAGAAAGGGCCCAGGGGCCCTATAGCATACCCAAGCCAGCATCCATAGAGAGAACTTCAGCCTTAGACCCTTCCCACCCTGAAGGGATAAAGCTGCTTCTTTACCTTTCTCTGGAGGTTTGTCTTCTGTCTTTCCTGGCCCACGCCAAGAAATGAACTCAGAAAACCCTAGACAACCACTAGCCACCTACTACATAGCCTGCTTCTGATACTACTGGTCCCCCAGCAAGGAAAGACTGGACATCTGTGGAAATGCACTTTCTGTAGGCGACAACGCCCCACGCACCTTTTCAATCAACTCGTAGCTCTCTTCCAGCTTCAGCAGCCTGTTCTGCACCGATGTGGATGCTCGTTGGTAGACAGCCCGCCACTCCTCGAAGTCACTCTCAGAAATCTCAGCCACAGCAAAACACAGAGTCCTCAGCCCTGCAAGAGGCAGCATGCCCCAGCACACCACAGAAGACCGAGTCACGAGTCTGACGTTTCCAATATTTAACAAAATCTAATTTTGAGTAGTCTTCACTTTAACGATGACACAAACCTCAATATCAAATGCTTGGAATGCGCTTTCGGCTTTTAAATTTTGTACCTTGCTTACAATTCCAAGCCCCTTTAACCCTTCTTTCACATCTAGGGTCCCCCAGGACAAAGTTCCAGCCGAGAGGGTGGCACACACTCTTCAACTGTCTGCCTATACTCCTCGCCATTCACTTCCTGGGACATACGGTGTTCTCTGCACTCATTGGCCGGGGTATCCATTTTACCTCCCTTTCCCCAACTCCCCTTCCCTGTCTGCAAGACAGCTCTACCTCCTGAGAGAGGAGCAGAGTTATTGACCACTGGGGCATTGGGCTGTATTAGAGCAGTTTTTCTTTCCCTATTTTGGGAATGTGGCTGGAGACTTCCTCAGGGGCAGCATGGGAAAAGAAGTCTTTCAGCTCAAGGGCAGAAAGAATTGGGTTGTGATGGGGGCCAAGACAATTCAAACAGGGGAACCAGAGCCTGGGTAATACTGCTACTACCAGCGTGGCGCTGTCCAGACCTTCAGACCTCCAACTCAAACCTGTGTGACCTGAAATTGGGCGGCTTAAACCTGGCATACCCAGCTGGGCGAGGTGTAGACTTCTGAGCTCTTGCATTCTTGGGAACTTGGAGAACATCACACCCTGCTATTCCGAAGCCTATTATTTATTTACTTAGTTTGGTCTGATGTTTTTAGAAAACATTCTTATCTTTTCAAAGACTCAATCATGAAGGAGCAAGGACTTGAGCAGGGGTCGGGCTAGCTGAAGGAGGAATGAAAACGAAGGTGGGTGATTTACACACTCGGTGAATGCCGCCATCAAGCGCAGCAATGCGATAATACACATTCTCCGATTCATGGACCAGAAGGCTGGATGGTCCTCGTTCACTTTTCTAATACAGAACATCTTAGACCCTGTATTGCTGGCCTCGTACATCATCATGCATTTCAGAACAGTTACAGGGCAGCTTTTTTACCACAAACTCCTGGGCCTCACACAGACACTGAGTGGAGCTCAATAAAAATAAAAATAAAAAAGTCAGTTTATAAATTTTCATAATAACATAGGTATTTATTTCTCTTTTTATTGTTCAGATTATAGAAGCTCAGTTATTTTATTTTTCTTAACTAATTCCATGAGATGTAAGGTAAAGTATTTAAACGGTATTCATTCTAAAAAGTAACACAGATTTAAAGGCTTTACTAGATCAAATGAGGGCCAAAGTCTGTCGGTATTTCAGCTTTTTTCTCCTTAAGAAAGAAACCTTGTGGGACTAGTGCATAGGAATATCTAGGTTATCATCAATAACCAACACTTCATCTAAGAAATCCGGAAGTGGAACTGCCAATGATCCTGCAAGATATCAAAAGTCCATGATTTCTTCATGTTTCAATCAAGTTCTATTCATATAATACTCACCTTCCGTAGCAAACTGTTCTAAATGTTTTAGGGTGATTTCTTTGTACTTTGAAGTCTCTGCAAGTCGTTCATAAATTACTGTGTCCTGGAAAATAAGCAGAAGGTGCAGTGGATTAATTAAGTATCCTGGATTTAATAAGACTGAGGTCAGCAATGTTATTAGTTGAGAATCTGTACAAAAACTCCCGGTGTTTTCTTTTAAGCACAGATTTTTTTATTTTATTTTTTTATTATTATTATTATTATTTTTTTGGCCTATGAGAAACAATGATTCCCCAAAGACAGGAAGGAATACAGCTGGACCTGTGGGTTTGCATCCATGGATTCAATCAGTCACAGGCAGAAAATGTAATCTGGCCTGTAAGGTTGGGTCTGCAGAGAATATGCACACACACTTTCTTGGGATAATTCCATGAACAGTACGATAATGTTTTCCACATAATGTTTACGACACAGTAAGAATTGTAACTCATCTAGAATTGGTTGGAAACCCAGAGACGGAACTGGGCCTGGTGGCCTTCATTTGTAGCCTTAGCGCCTGAGAAGTGGAGCCACTAAGTGGCTGAGAGCGCTCTCCCTATAGGTTTTGTAGAATTTTGTGAATCATATTCAGCAGAAAATGGTCTAGGCTCAGGGAATATTGGGTGTGTTTGCCTGACAAAGAATCTGTCCTGTGCAGCTCCCCCATGAGCTGGAGCCTCAGTGGCTACAGTGTGGACATAAGACATATCCTACCCTAGACCCTTCCAGGGACAAGGGCACCTTTCCAGGTCTGTCCTCACAGAGGGACACAGTCGAGGCGGCACAGCACCGGGCTACCAAATGTCCTGAGATGTTCAGGGGGGACACACGAGGACCTTCAATCCTGGAGCTGCTTCAAACGGCCGACATCTCTGTGTCTGTGTCTAGCTCTGAAACTTGGTTGACTTAATTTGTAAATGAAAACTCCCGGATTAAAAAACAATATTATTTCTTTGAAACTGCCATACAGTGTGCTTTGATCCTACCCACCCTCCTCCGAACCATTCGAAAGTGCCGTTGGCTTTCGCTTTACGCGCCATTTACTTCCCTCTGCTCTTTTCTCCTTTATAAATTGCCTATTGTTCCTTCAGTTATTCGCTGGCTTTGGTTTAATGTCTTAAAGAACGTCAGTATTCAGCCTTCATGACTTTTTATTAGACCAGGAAAAAATAAATCATTTACCTGCAATTACTCTCTCGGTGGTAGTACCCACCGTGGGGTTTCCAGGCTCGGGCCGAGATCTGGAAACTGACTAATGGAGTATGATTTAGAGCCCTTGAGAGAAACACAACCAAGTGACCTCAGAACAGATGGAATAGCCCAAGCCCCAATTATGAATTTCTTTTCATTTTCCAGTAGTGGATGGGAAGGGAAACAGAGAAGGAAATGACAGTTTGCGATCACGGCTCTTTCCTGGGAGGGAAAGGAGTCATTTTGGAGTTCTTTTTCTTTTTCTTTTTCTTTTTTTTAAATAGCGGTTCATGAAAATTTCCACAAGGCTAACAGGGCCCATTTTCAGAGGAAGAAAACCTTTTAAAAACTTGAAAGACAGAAGTGGTAAGTGAAAGAGGAGGGAGGTTGAATTGAATTCCGCAGTATATCTGAACACACTGGTGCTCAAAAGAAGCAATTATTGACCACATTCTTTGTGGTATTGAGAAAAGCAAGGGCTGTGGCCTTCTGCAGCACATACAGGCTTCCAAATGACAGTCACAGTGGTTGGCCATGCTTGCCTGTGAAGAACGAAATACTTAAGAATCTGCCACGCTTTTAGGAGTGAAAAAAAAATTCCTCCCTAGACACTAGAAGAGGTATATGCCATTAGTTCAGACTTAGAAGTCATGGAAGCTCCTCAGGGAACTTGGTTATCTTGTACCCTGGCCCTCAGTAAGGAAAAGTTGGAAAACCACAGTGACCGGATTATTGTTGTAGATGGCGCGGCACAGCCAAATTATTATTACTATGGATAGGTCTGAGGCTTTGGGAAAACTTAAACCCGCGGTTAATCATTCCTTTTTGGTGATTGTTTACTCAAAAAACTGTTTTCCTCTTGCTTTTTATCTTTTTGCTTTTTGGAGACAGGGTCTCACGTAGTTCAGGCAGGCTTTGAATTTATTATGTAGCTGAGGACAATGCTGACCTCTGGTTTTCTGTTTCTACCTCCCAAGCACTGGGATTAAAGACATGGGACACCACCTCTGGTTCTTACTGTGTTTAAGACTAAAGTTCAAATTCAGCCCTATGTTTACGGACATATTTTTCCATATGTGCATGTATGCATGTGCGTATTCTTACGCATGTGGAGACCACTGGTCAACCTCCAGTATTGTTCTTCAGGAGATAGTCACCTTATTTTTGCGAGATGAGGTCTCTCACTGGGTTGTGGAGCTTACCTGTTGGCTACGCTGGCTGTTTAACAAACCCCAAAGATCCTCCATCTCTACCTCTCCTAGAATTACAACTTCACGCTATTTATTTTTTACTTTTATGTGGGTTTTCATGATCAAACGTAGGTCCCTCATGCTTGTATGCTAAGTATCTTACCTACTGAGGTATTTCCCCAGCCCCAACCAAAATATATTTTAAAAAAGAAAAAACTCTGTGTGTAGGGTTGAGGTCTAAGGAATGCTAATGATGGGAGAAATAGTCTTCCCCTGGGAAGATCACACCATTTGGCTATCCAGTACCAAATGGCCAGCCCTAAAAACACACTGAAGTGATTTGACTAGGAATATCCCCCATAGGCCTATATGTGTGAATGTTTAGTCACCAGAAAGAGGAACTGTTTGAAAGGATTAGAAGGATTAGGAGGCATGGCCTTGTTGAACAAAGTATGTAACCGGGGATGGGCTTTGAAGTTTCCAAAGCCCACAAGAGGCCCACTCTCCAGCTTTCAGCTGCTGTTCCAGTGCCTGTCACCACGATCCCCACCAGGATGATAATGGATCAGCTCTTTGCAACTGCCAAAAAGCCCCAATGACTAAAGGCTTTCTAAGAGTTTCCTTGGTCATGGTATCTCTTCATAGCAAGAGAACAGTGACTAAGTGCATTCAAGTAACATGACACAGACTGAGCAGGAATATATGTGCATATGTACATACACATAAAAGAGCAATGAATGAAATAGAAGCCATGGATTCGAAAGAGCAAAGAACGGTGTATGGGAGGAATTGGAAGGAGGGAAAGGGATGGGAAAATGACGTAATCACTGTGCCATGCTGTGTGTTTGGTGATCAAAGAACAACTTACAGGTCTGGGTTCTGTCCTTCTACCACGCAGGTCCCAGGGATTAAACTCACGGTCAGGACCTTTATTTACTCACCCATTTCACCAGCCCACTACATGCTCATGTTTAAATATGCACAAATATTTTCTGTGATAGGCTCCATTAAGAATTAGCTAAACTTTGCCTCTGATGTGGGAGAGAACTGCCAAAAGCAGCTGATTGTAGAGAAGGTCTAATTTGGATACAACAAAGAATTTTAAGAGATACCTACTTTGATATTTGCAGTCTCCTTAAGGTTCCTGTAAGATCAAGTATGTTAGTCAAGTTTCTCGAGTCTTCCTGTGGTTTAGAGTAAACTTCTCGAATAAACTAATGATTTAGATGAGTAAATGGTCCTTTTCTCTAACTGGCTATGATCGCAGATGCAAATTGTAAACTGTATATGCTTCCTTTTTAATTTAGAAATTAACAAAGCAAGGTATTTTCCTTACAGAAACTCTTAAAAACCAGGAACTATAAATCACATGCCAGCCCAATCCCTGCTTTATACGGTATGCTGCTGGGAATTTTCAGTACTGTCTTCTAATTTACTAACCTCAGTCTCCCCTCAATTGTGCCTAATTCAGGATTTACTTCATTTATTGATTTTAAAGACTGCTTAAGATTCTGACTCACCTTGCACATCTACCAGATCCCCATTCCCAGTGTCTTTTGAATGCAAATAGCCATAACTTTTTTATTTTTCGTGCCGAGCTTCCAACACCCTGAGGCAGAGCGTCTACACAGATGGTCTAATCTGGAGCGAATCCATGTTTCTCTGGTTATGGTGCCCTGGCTCCTCTGGTGTGAGATTTCCACACACATCCCTGGCTCTGTATTTTCTTGTACGCATGCCAACCTCATGGTTTTATAGTCTTAGCAAGGGCTGGCATGAGTTTTTTCTGCAGCCCCTTTGCATGATTAGAAAGCTCAGCACTTTGGGCTTGGCCTCAGAGTAGGGGAGCTGGCTTGCACCTGAACTCCCTAATTGGACTTACGGCCAGCTCCATGGGAGGGAAATCATGCCTGGTACTAGAAGCCTAGCCAACGACCTGGCACTAGTGATGTTATGGATCTTGGAGGAGAACCTCCTCCGGCCACAGTTCCTAACTCCATTTTAAAACTCACCCTTAGCCCAACAGTTAAGTGTGGCTCTCACTTCCCACTAAAGAAACTTCGCCTTGTAGCAGGGACCATTACAGGAAACCACAACTGGTCAGAGTGCAGAGATCAACCGATTGTGGGAGCCCAGCCGGTCATAGTAGATACATCTGCAACACAACACCTGCACCTAAGGCTCAGCGAATATCATGGTCGAAAGGCTTAGAAAGATCAGAAAGTCTGTTGTGAGACTGCATCTTCCAGAAATGACAGGGAAGCTAAATACTGAAGGCTGAAGTCTCAGGGGCCCTCTGTTAGCCAGGGTTTCTATTGCTGTGAAGAGACACCATGATCACAGCAACTCTTATAAAATAAAACTTTTAATTGGGGCTCCTTATAGTTCGAGGTCTGGTACATTATTGTCAAGGCAGGAAGCATGGCAGCATGCAGGCAGACATGGCGCTGAGAGGGGCTGAGGGTTCTACATCTGAGTCTTCAGGAAGCAGGAAGGAAGAGTGAGCCACTGGGCATAAGTTAATCTTCTGAAAGCTTGAAGTCCACCCCCAGGGATACACTTCCTCCAGCAAGGTCACCTCCTAGTGGTGGCGCTCCTCATACACCTTTGTGGGTCCTTTCATTCCAGCTACCACAGGCTCCACCCACAGACAATGAACTACACGCAACCAAGGAATGTGGAGCGAAGAAGACTTGGTCTTTTCTTCAGTGTGTCTATGTGAGTGTAGATCATTGTTGCGGGTGCCCTGGAGGCTGAAAGAGAAACTGGCTCCCCTGGAGCTGTGTGGGTGCTAGGAACTAGACTCATGTTCTCTGGAAGGTAAGCAAAAACTCTTAACAGCTGGGTCATTTTTCCAGATTCTTTTACTCCAATTTCTTTTCCTGGGAAATCCAGGCTTCAGCACCTGATAGCCCTGTGTAGAATTCCCAGCTCTCTATCACGGTAAAGCAGTGTTAGTCCACTCGGCAAGCCAAGTAGAAATCCCCATATGATCCCCGATAATCCTTTCCTTCAGCACCTGCAAACATCAATTACTAAGCCTTAAATCTTCCTTCCCAGTCTTCTCTGTGCCTGTCTCCAGCCATCCCTAGCGGCTCTTGCCTGGAAGAGATGATAAGGTTTAAACGGAACCTCTGTCTGCATCTGTTCGCAGCCCTCAAATCATCTCCCCCAGTAACAAGGAAATGATCAAGAAGAAAATACCTGCTCTTGAGCACAGGTATGGGGGCAAACCCAACACAACCCCTCACCCAAAGTCAATCCATAAAAACCCTTCTGCCTGGCCCCTGTTCAGCTAGTCCATTTCAATCTACAAACTACCATTGTCGAACAGTTGTTGCTGTTTTCCATCTCTGTTCTGGAGGGGAAACAACACAACACGATGTGAATTTGTGCAAACAATCTCTGTGGCTAAAAAAAAAAAAATCCATGTTTTTAACTTTCTGTCCAATGCTTTAGTTCCCTCCAGTAAGTGTGTAGAGGTAGAATGTCCAAGATTGTAAAGCGAAGGCGTGATTTGGGTGTGGCAAACCAGATGGGACGTCAACCAGTGAACGGGCGGTCTTAGTTTCCTTTTACTCTCTTACTGTGTACGTTGCCATAGGAACAAGGACAATCTGTACCATGTGACTCAGCACTACATCCTAGCCAACTCTGCACGTACTTCCCTGGCTAGACATAAGCGCCTCACATGACTTAGGTCCTGTCGTCACATCTCTAAAGTCAAGTTCAAAGTCTGAAGATAAAACACTCATGATGAACACATGTTTGGCATCTTAATCAATGGGAACACAAGAACCAAAAAAAAAAAACCCTATATATCCAAATTCATAAGACATCATGAAATAATTCTATCAAAGTGTCCTAAAACCAGCGGCATTCAAAAATTGTGTTTCAAGGCTTTAAAGCCAAGGCATTTAAGGTTCTCGACAGGAATTTAAACAAGAGGTTTGGCTTTCTTAGCTTTAGTGTCCCTGTTTCCATGGAACCAAGCATACTTGTTGAGTCCATTTAAAACTGTAAAATTCCAGGCAAAGGGTACCTCAGGGGGAAAGTCCTGACGAATCCTAGCAAAGAACAGCCTGGTTGGTAGGGCTCTCATGCTTCCCATCAGTGTAAACACTCTTTTCATTGGGAAATTCAGTTGGAATAGGCAATACTATTTCTGCCAATATAACCTACTCACATGCTGAAGCCAACCAACAATCAGCAGTCCTATAATATTTAAAGCAAGACAAGCAAGCAATACCAAATGAGAAATTGCGGCAATAATTGTGAGCCAACCCTCTCCCCGTTTCTACGCTCTTTAGGCAAGTAGATTAAAATTGGAGTGTATCATTAGATTCTAATACAATTTAAAAATATTTTCTGTATTTAGTCATCCACTAACAGAGCTAATATAACACAAACCTCAAATATCTTGTATTAAAAATCGAATTACAAAAGTAACCTATGCCAGACTTTTTCAAAGCACCAAATTTATCCAGAAGGAATTCACTATTTCACCAGAGGAGGCTGAAGGCTGTTACTATAAAACACCAACAAACGTGGATGTCATCAGTTTCACGTTAAACATCTGTGTTACATTTCCATAGCAGGATGCCTAACACGTACATTATAAACCACCATAAATCAAAACTGTGAAAGGCAAAAAAAAAAAAAGACTCACCGCGCCTTTGCAGTAAAGCCGTAGCTTCCCGGAGGGAGTGCGAACCACCACCGACATTCTCTTCCTAGCGCTGAAATACAGAGGTTTCTGCAATGGGTCATCATACCGCAGATCTACACAGACAGGTTCTTGTTGGGCTTCGCAGATTTTAATGCTCAAGGTGGCAAAATTAATCTGATCAAATTATGAGCCATAATCTTTCGTATATACAGATTATCTCCCGAGTGCACAGCTGGGGGCCCCGGAGAGTCACGTTAGATTTTTGACGTCACCAGAGTACCATCTACTGTCCTAAAGGAATAAGCCAAACAGTTCCCCAGACACCTGTAAGAGTTAATACCCACTGGAGTAGCAACATGCTTAATATGTTAATATTCGAAAATTATTTGAGCTAGTATCTTAATAGATGGTTATAGGCTTCACTTTAAAAATTAAAATCAGAAACAATATTTTTAACTATATAATCACAGATAAAGGCAAATGCTAGTACTTTTAAGAAGCAATATAAGCATTCATTGTTGTTTAAATGATTGGAGCAGGCTCTTTACTGAGAGGGGTACAGTCCAAGACCCCTAGAAGATGCCAAAGACCTGGGATAGTGCCAACCCAATAATGTATTTTTTTCTGTACATATATACCTATGACATTGTTCAATTTGTTAGAGTAAGCAACTAACAGCAGCAACTAAAAGAACAATTATAATAATATATCTTAGTAAAAGGTATTTGAAACTTAGAAATTGTTTGCTTCTAGAATTTTCCATTAGATATTTTTAGAGTATGGTTGACCATGAGGAAGTGAGACCTCAGCCAGGGTGGAAACATAGTCCTTTACAAACTGGTCTCATCTACACATTAACTCAGCCCTTCTTGGCCCATGACATTCTTAGTTCAGTGCTGATTTAATGGTCCCAGAATCACCAAGTTACTTCTCCTGGCAGAATCTCTAAATGCTCCTGGGACCCCTCTTCTGAGATCCATCCAAGTAAGATGGCCATTGCAGAGAAAAGTCACCGAGCCCGAGGGGACTACTATGGGATGTACAAAGCAGAGGTGCTCCACACTGACCACCTGTACATCTCGTCCCTCTGTGAGGTTGGTTCCCTGACCCCTGCGAGGCCTTGGCACACATTCTTGACTCTCCAAGTCCTTCCATGCTTCCTTCTTGCTCCAAACTCTGGATTTCAGGGACTCAACCCTTAGTCCCTCACATTTTTCAGCCTCCAAAGCTGGCTATGTTTGCTCCCTCCTCCCTCGTATTTACTTGACTCCAGGTAGAAGTAGTTCTGCTTTGATCAGAGCCTGTCCTTCCACAGGATGGCTAAATAGCTCACCTCACCTTCTCAGTGGCTTCATTCTGAAACCACTCAGCTCTCCTGTGAATCTGCCCCTTTCCCCTTCTATGTGGATCATGTTTATCCACAAGCATGTTCTAGTGTCTCCCTTATACCTCACCGAGTAGGCACCCTCCCCTGTGAGTCACAAGTCCTTTCAACTCTATAACTCAACTCTGGGTGAACTACGTCTATATTCAGGCTCCACCCATTTCCCCACCCACTCCCATCTTCCCACCATCCCAATGAATACTCAACAGATCTTTCCCAAACTTCCCCTTACCTACACTGGCAGCTGCCTCTGAACAGGTGATTATTCTTCTTAAGATTTCTCTCAGCTCTGGGCTATTTATCATTCTGCTTTTGCCCTCTGTATCTTTAACAATAAAAACTTGATTTTATTTAGCCCCCTCTTGCAATAGTTGCTCAGGCTAGCCAAGCACTCTATCGATGAAGAATGTATATCACACATCCATTTCTCATTTCAAGGCAAGCTCTGAGTAAGGGGCCTGAGCTGACCTTAAACTTGTCTGCATCCCAGAAAAGCTTTGAACTTGAGATCTTCTTGTTTCTGTCTCCAAATTAGTGAGTATTACAGGTCTGTGCCACAATATTTGGCTAATTCTTAGTTTGCAATAAATTCTTAACAGTTAGAATTATTTTTCATAAGTGGCTCAGTCATCAGCCTTCCACTTTCTTCTTAATCTATATTTTATATTCAGAAGATCCTATTGACTTATAAACTTTTGGTATCAGTTGGAGACCAGTGACTACTAAACGGGTATTTCAACCATAGTTTTGGTTTTATTTTCTGGCTTGGTGCGGGAGAATTGTCTGTATTCTGTCAATCATATTTTAAATAAATGCTGACTGGCCAGGCAAGAAGTATAGGCGGGAAAACCAGACAGGAAGTAGAGGTGGAGCAAAGAGAACGGGAGTATTCTGGGAAGCAGGAAGCTTCCTCCACCACTCCTGCGCAGATCACTGAAGAGGTAGGATGTAATCTGCCCGGCTGTGAAAGGTATGGAGCCATGTGGCTAACACAGCTAAGAATAATGGGTTAATATAAGCTACAAGAGCAAATAAGAAGACTGAGCTAATGGACCAATCAGTTTTATAACTTATGGAGTCCTCTGTGTGATTTTCTTTGGGGCTTGAAGACTTGTTGGGGTACCAGGAGGGACAGAAACCCCAACAAGCAGGCCCCTTCATGTTACACTGGCTTTATAGCCAAGTCCTTACTGGACACTTTCGTCTGTACGTCTCCCAGACATCTAAAGCATAGTGTTTCCAAACATCTCATCTACCACATGATTGCTATTCCTATCTCTGTCATCCTGTAAAAGGGAATTTCTACATACCTAGCTGTCCGAACTAGGATCCTCACCCTCCCCTTTCTTCTCTTTGTTCCTGCCCCACCCGTCCAATCTATAGCCAAGTTCCACCGATCTCCCTCAAATAAGTGTAAAAAGCCCATCAACTTTTCTTCATTCTCACCACCGTTATCCTGATCCAAACTGTCATGGAGACAGCTTGACAGCATCACATTCGTTTCCCTTTCCAGGCTGAGGCCCACCCACCCTCACTACAGAATCAAGGACCTGAAAGTCCTCACTTTTGATTTATTTTTCTCCACAGCACTTTTCATTAGCATGGAGTTGTTCAAAAACCACATCTATATGCTAGTTTATATGCTGTTTATATCACCTTTAACACAAACAGAGTTGGAAAAGACACTTTATCATGAAGACAGAGATGAGCGATGTATGCGGGAATATTTTATCCTAGGTAAGTAAGTAACTTAGCTTCTTCCTTTGAGCTGTTTGGAAAATATAGCACAAGGATAGTGTTTAATATCTCGGAAGACCCTGCTATTTGGTCACGTGGTCACTCGGGATCAAAACAGTCACCAAAGTTAGCATACAAAAGGAACTGTCTCTCCCAGACACTGTGTAAATTTGCTTCTGTAGGAGAAAGCTCAGAAAAACAGGTGGGCATGTCTTTTCTCAAACAAAGCATTGTTCTCTCTTGGGCTTTCGTTTCTGAAGTGTCCTCTGAGAGGACATACAGTCTTTAGAGGTCCTGGAGTAAGGCCCATTTGTCCTGTGAACATAGGGTGGCTAGGCAACAAGGCCCAATGTAAGTCTGAGTAGGGTGGTAGAGCTGAAGGCCTTTGCTCTAGCTGGAGTGCAAAGACATCCTCACAAGCTCCTTCATCTGACACTTGGCCTCTCATTGGAGAGCTAGTTTAGGAGACGAGGCCTACTTGGCTGAAAGATGTTACTTGGGGAAAAGTCTTCAGGGTTATGGCTTGGTGCTCTCTGGCCCTGATCTCTCTGCTCCTTGATTAATGGGAATTTAATGAGGCATGTCACAAGCTCTTGCCATTATCCATGGAGCTCCAGCACCTTGCTCTCCCTGCCATGATGGATTGTATCCCTTTAAAACGTGAGCCAACATTAAGTTTTGTTTCTTTATGTTGTTTCCGCAGGTTCTTGTCACAGTGATGAACACAGCCAACATTATTTCTCTTTAAGAAAGGAGTGAGTGAGACATTCACTTTGCTTCTGGTCCTTCCTACTAGATGGTAATTCTTACTTCACCGAGACAAGTGGGCATAAGGAACATACAATGAATACAGGGGTTTCCTGAGTCTTAATTTCATTCCACCTAAATCTTGTTGCCTCTTAGTATATCTATGATTTTAGGTCTTTAGATGCTATAGTTTAGATCTGAAATATACCCCCCAAAGGCCCCATGTATTGGAGGACTGATCCCAGAGAGGTGTTATTAGGAGGTGGGAATCTCTAAAAAGTCAGAGGTCTTTGGGCCATTGGGGATAGGCTTTGAGGGGCATCTGTGAAACCAAGTCTACTTTCTTGTTCTCTTTTGAGATTGCTAAGTATCTCATGAGCACTAAGTCCATCTTCAAAGACTCCATGGTAGGAACATCAGGCCATGAGGTGAGCAGGTTTACTCCTCCCTGTGTTCCTGCCTCATGTGTTACCTTGGTGTAGGCCCAGAGTAGCTAGGCTATTGGTCATGGAGTGCAGCCTCCAAAACGTGTCAAAATAAACTCATCTTTAGGAGGTGACTGTTTCAGACACTCGATATTATATCGGAAGGCTAGCTAACATGTCAGCCACAGGGTTCTTAGTCTTGTCCTGAAGCTGGGATTCAGGCAATTGCCTCACAGAAAGACCCTTTGAACTGCCAGCAGAAGCCACACAGTCCCATGTCCCGAAGAAAACTGTGCATGACTTGTCTACAGATAGGACACTTAAACCACATGGAAGATCTTAATATCCTGCTTAAACACATACATAAGAGTAAAGCATACATTCCAACTATATATATAGGAAAAACAAAAAAAATGAATGAAAATGTATATCCCCCCCCACAAATTCTAGAGCAGGTGTCTTTACCTGGTGAACTCTAGGACATTGAGCAATTCATATCTTTCTTCCTGCCCCAGCTGCAGAATAAAAGAAATGAAAACACTTTAGGTTTCTTGGAAATAATCACTTGTCACAAATTTTTATTATAAAATGTCAACACAAACACAATTTCCCTTCCTCCTTCTGAATTGCGGGAGAGAGTTTACTAAACTTTCAGATTAGTGAATAGTGAAAGACAGGAGAGGGCTCAGAAGCATGTCAAGTGTCAGAGAGACAGGCGAAAGAACAACAGAGGCCCCAGTGGAGACTGAGACAGAAAGCCAACAGATAAGATTATCTGTTGTGGCCATACTGAGCTTCATAGCTAAGGAGGCAAGGACCCACAAGGTCAGGGAAAGAAAAGGATACAATAAAAAATGTCAAAAATATATCCTTAGGAAATAGTGGAAAATGAATTTTAAGAAAAAAATTTGAGTTAGGAAAGAGTTTAATGAAAAGATACCAAGTACAAAGATGCTTAGCTATGAATACGTGTACAGGTGTAATAAAAACACTAATAATAATTTTTAAAATGAGCTATCATTCACATTAAATAAACCACAGAGCTCTTCAATGCAAACTGTATAGTTTGATAAGGGTACTGCCTGTGCAAACACCGCCCTGTTGAGGATGCAGAACATCTGATCCATAATGAATTCTCTCGTTCCATTTCCAATCAATCTTCTCCCCCATCCCCAAGGCAATGACTGTTCAAGATTCTATCATTATAAATCACGTCTGCACAGTTTCCAGCTGCAGACAGATGGGCTCATAAAGGAGGCTTTCCTTTGTGCCTGGCATTCTTCCCTCCTCAATATAGAGTTTTCGTGATTTATCCACACTACTCAAGAATCAGTTCACCTTTTTCATTGTTTCGATGGCCAGACAGATCTCAACCTGTTCATCCTCTCCTGCTGATATGCATTTGTTTCCAGTTTGGCGTAACCACGAAGACAGCCACCACGAACACTCCATTTTACCTCTTATGGTGGATACAAACTTCCCTTTCTCCTAAGTAACTGAGAACTGAATATACCTGCTGGATTGAGGCAGGCTTTCCTTTACTAGAAAACTCTTCAAAAAATTCACTAACATTTGTTTCCATCAGTGATTTTTAATTTCAGTCTTCCCAGCGGGTGCACAGTAGTGCTCCACTATGGTTTTCATTTCTTTGATGACTAGCCATGGTCTGCTTGTAGCCACTCGGATATTACCTGCTGTGATAAATCTGTTCAAAACTTCCCCCGTAAAAGCAGATCCTGAAGAATGACCTTTTTGTTGTGAGCTGTTTTGAGACAGGGTCTCGTGTAGCCCAGGCTGGCTCTGAACTCCAGATCCTCCTGTATCCTACCTCCCGTGCACTGTGATAACAGGCCTATGCACTATACCAAGGCTTCTGGATACTCACACAACCAAACATTTAATAATGCCTGGAATCTAAAGAAGAAACAAATGGGAAGATGACTCCAGGCAGATAAATCTCCTTTTAGTAGAACAGAAAATCAGTAGATAGATCCAGTTTGGAAGACTCAACATTGTACATCGAGCGTATGATCAGACACAATTTTGCTAAGGGTTGAAAGAACCGAATGAAAGGATGGACAGTGGTGCCCTGGATAGGTGACTTTGGTCCACTGTGGTCTTTTCCATACTGCCTTTATCTCGGAAGTTACAAGAATGTGCTATGCAGGTTTTAAAGCGCCCGTAAGATACAAGTGACTTACTGAATCTATGATGACCGAGTCAGGAGTTCTTCCGGTGAAGACAAAATTCAGCTGCTTGGCCGCTCTAACCAGCGCTCCCTCATCTGTGTCAGAGAACAGGTGACAGAAACAGGACAGAAAAAGATGATGTATGAAAATGTAAGGGAAAGAAACTGGCACAATGCAGTTTTCTGCTCGGTTAAAAATTCCTTTCTTCATGCTCTGAAACTCATTCCTTTTTGTGTACATGATGATGCCAGAGGAATGGGAACAACCGTTCATGACCCACACCCGAAAGTGACAGCTTGAATGGACACCTTAGTCGGCATACACTTGAGGACACCTTTCTCCAAATCCACGGCAGGAAGTCTTTTAAGATTTATCCATTCTCCCCAAATGGTTGAGTGTTAATTCCAATGCTGAGATCTGAATCACTTAAAGGGAACAGAGGCTTAGTTTATGTCAGCTGCTTTCCTCACCGTGTCACCAAGCTTTGTCACTGCTGAGAGTGCTAAGACACACACACACACATATAGATACACACGTGCACACACACAATTCACAACACATCCATCCATCCACACATACATGTACATGCACACACAGATCCACACGTGCACATACACACATGTGCACACATATATACATACACAAAGTGAATACACATATACACACGTACACCCATATACACATATGTGCACACACATACATACACTCATATACACATATACATACATACCACACATATGCTCTATGTGAAACAACAAAATTTCTTACTCTGGTTAAGGAATTTGATGCATTGTTCAAGACATAACCACTACTTAAGAATATGGTTTTAAAATACAAAGCGTATCATTTCCCTTAAAGTTTGGATTATTTACCTAATTTTATCTTGGAAATAAGTCTAAAATCAAACCTAAATAGCTTAATGACCAGTAAATATTTTATAGAATGCCCCTGAAGTGCAAGAAGCTCTCCTCACCTAAGTGAACACAGAAAAGGTGCCCTCCAATTCCTAAAGAGAGGGCAGAATTATGTTCTAAAACCATGCATAGCAGCTTTCTTTAGGCAAACAAATCTCCCATCTGACTATGTGTAAAACCTATCATGCAAGAGTTTATTCTTATTTATAAGGGGGAACAATTACATGTACACAAATACTTTTATTCCTTTGTGTATACTTTATGACTCAATTTTCCATATAATTAATTTGAGAAAAATCACACACACAAAGCAACCTATTCTCTCTCTCTCTCTTTCTCTCTCTCTCTGTCTCTCTCTCTCTCTCTGTCTCTCTGTCTCTCTCTCTCTCTCTCTCTCTCTCTCACACACACACACACACAAAACACTTAACCCTGAAAACCAAGTTTCTAATTAGGATCCAATTGTTTTAAATCTAAAATCATAATTTGGTTATGTTCCATTTATAAATTAAATTGAAAATTTAAGTTCTATAATGCCAAATTTCAGAACAACTTTCTACAGAAAAATGCTCCATTGTTGCTTCTTCGGTACCTGGAGATGCTGCCTGATAGAAAATCTTCTCGCCTTCTCTCTCTGGTACAGCTGTGTGGCAGACTGCCATCATTGTGAGAAATTCACAAATGATAGGTGCGGTTGGCTGTGAGGAATAAACACATAATTTATCCCTGTTCATTTAAACATTTGACACTAATGGCAGTAATGTTACTTCACGGCCATTTATTAAGAGTACAGCTGGAAAGCATTGGGGGTGTGGGATTACAGCCAATAGCTGTTATGAAGAAAACCGATTTAGAACTCAGTTTATTTGTTCTTGTACTTCCTCATTCATTCTGTAAACATTTATTTAACTTGATTTTGTGCTCTTAAACAGAAATGAGAGAAAAAGATGATAAATTTGGTCCTTAGTGGGCAGAAGACATATTCTAAAATATTCACTTATTTGTTTGTAATTTCTAGTCAGATTTAAATTTCAGACATCTAACCTTTGAGTGGGGGTGATTATGTGTGCATTTTTCTGTAATGCCACCTTCCCTTTCTCCAATATAACTATATATCTATAAATTTGTATCTATGTATCTATCTATCAACCATATATCATCCATTCATGTCAGTACTCAGGCATAAGTTGGTACTAAGGCTATGATGTCATAAGTCAGTACTAAGGCTATTATGTCATGAGTCAGTACTAAGGTTATGATGTCATAAGTCAGTACTAAGGTTGTGTCATAAGTTGGTACTAAGGCTGTGTCATAAGTTAGTACTAAGCCTGTGTCATAAGTCAGTACTAAGGCTATTAAGTCATGAGTCAGTACTAAGGCTATGATGTCATAAGTCAGTGCTAAGGCTATGATGTCATAAGTCAGTACTAAGGCTATTAAGTCATGAGTCAGTACTAAGGCTATGATGTCATAAGTCAGTGCTAAGGCTATGATGTCATAAGTCAGTACTAAGGTTGTGTCGTAAGTTGGTACTAAGATGGGCAGGTGCTCTTACCAATAGTTAAAACTACGGCAGCTGAGGGGGAAAAAAGGCATTTTCTAACAGTATAAGCAAGAAGAGATTAGGATTGAGGATACAGTACCTTGTGTTTTAGTTTACTTTCATTTTTGCTGTTTTTATGTTTTTTTTAAAGAATCCCACTGGCGTCTACACATGCTGTATTGCTCAGCTAGGTTAGATCCTGCTTCTGCACCAGTCTCCTGTGCTCTATTCTCATTCCTACAACCTGCTCTTCCCTACTTCTGATCTTCTCCCCACTCCGTCCTTGTAGACTTTCTGATTTTCCTCTAGCTTTAATAATATTTGAATTCTGTTTACTCTAACTATATCCTATCTCCCCTTCCTATTTAGGGGTCGTATAAAATAGGCTCAATAAAATCACAGCGGGAAACTTCCAATCTAGGGAAAGACACAAGCACCTGGACATATGAGATATTGAGAACACTGGTACACATAAAGTAAAAGAAATCTTTAAAAAAAGATCATGCAAGTAAAAACAAAAACTAGAAAGATGGAGGGCAGCTGAGAATGACGCACGAGTGCTCACCTACGGGGGACAGAGAACGTGCTGACGTCACTTACGTGGTTATTCTGGAGATTCTCCAGCAGTGAGGAGTCACTAAACGTTTTTTCATCTCCAAACTGCGAGTTCTGCCTAGAGGGGAAAAAAATAAAGCAAAGTTGGATTGCTTATACAGACGGGCCTATCCATTTACTTCGAACTAATGATGAATGATTACCCTCAATGAATTCAAATAATTGATTTCATGACTATCATGCTTTTAAAAACTATTCTAAGTATTAATGAGGTTACTAAAATATGATTTTACTTTGGCCAAATGAGAACTCTTTATATGTAGTAACAATACAAATGATTGTATGAAATATAAAAATGTGAATAATAAAGTATTTTCATAGTTTGACAACCTTTATAAATATGTATAAGAATATTTCTGAGTATATCATATTATGCTATTCAGAAAGGAAAATAATCACAAATGTATATGAGATTTGTATTGTGGTTGACTCTTTACATTAACGAATGAATAATGTACTTTACTTGAAACAAATAGGATCTGCATTAACTTTTATTCTATTATTAATCTCATGACCCTACATTTAAGAAACTCAAACTAAAACCCAGGAGTATGTAAGTAGGCACAGCGAAATACTTCAAAGTATCTTTGAAATGCACCTTGAAAATGTAAATGTTAACATTTTTTTTAATGTATAAAAGTTTCAGAACTGACTGAGGAAAAATCAACATCTCCATGAAATAAGTAATCACAGTCCAGAAGATTTTAATCATAATTTAAGTTTGAGTTACGGAGTTTTGACAACGCTAATGTGTGAAGCACCAAGACATTCCTGACATCCTAAATCACAATGAGAAAGGGACAGGTCACTGAAGAAAGTCGAATAAATGGAACCAGTATGTCTCCCTGAGCTGATGATGTAAAACCGATGAGCGTTTGCAACATTACACAGCTCCCTTTATTTAATATCAGTGCCTGGCTGGTGGATTACACAAGTTATATAAGATATCTTTGCTAGCAGGTTGTAGTTAAGAATTCTCAAAATTATCATTGGTTTTATTGGTTTAGTATTAAGTACGGGCTCTAATAACTTTCAAATGACTTGTCACTGGGAAGATAGAAGAACGAACACATTTCTATAAATATTCTCATTTATAAAGAGTAGTTTTACTGTTGGGACTGATGAGACGGCTCAGTGGGAAAAGGCAGTTGATGGCAAACCTGGTGACTGGTGTTTGGTGCCTGGGACTCAAGGCAAGAACTGATTCTACACGCTGTCCTCTGACCTCCACACATAACACCATGGCACATACACCTCTTTCCGAAAAATCAATAAAGGCAATAAAAGTAAACTTAAATGTTTACTACTTGTGAGTGTATGAAATATTCCCATAATCAAAATCTACTTACTCCTGTGTCGCAGCTGTAGTTTTATTTGTTGGGGAGGCCAAAGCATAAGGGAATATCCACTCACTTCTTGAAATATGAATACTTTTTCTTTCCAAGAGTTCCAAAGTAAAAATCTTTCGAAATCTTATATGTCTTATTACTCATTCACTTAAAAAATCCCAGCTGCTATTATTGATCAAACTTTCAAAAGTATTTAAATAACTTTAGATGTACAACTGAAATACTTACACAGACAGATCCCATTCTACATTCCCTAACAAAGGCTTCCATTCTGTAATGTATTACATAAGAACTCCCTCCCACTAAGTGACCTTCTTATCAAGACCATGGAAAACCACATGCAACTCATCCTCTAGCAAGATGGCTTGACTAGGATGCTTCAGGCATGGAGTCATCACTACACTCCCTAATCTTATAAAATATCTACTTTTGGTAAAAAAAAAAGGCAAAAAAGGAAGGTTATATTATTTAAAATAAGAACTACGCTAAATGCATAAATATTTAAAACTCTGGGCATTTACCCATTGCCTGCACAGAAAAATGCAAGCCAACATCCACGTGTCTCATCTTCTTTTTTTCCTTAGACAATTTCCAGGGGCACTTTGCTCATAAAGAGACAAAGGCATGGTGGGCGTGCACCAGTTAAGAGAAAGAGGAGAAAGCATGTCTAGCTCTCTGCATCATCTGTAGCTTCCTGTAGCTTAAAGCCACACAGCATTGTAAGTACTGTTCAATTAGATGAAAATGAAGAGTCAAAACAGCAATTAAGAGAAAAATCAGAAAGTACCCAGCCTAATTAATCATGTCTATCTTTCAATCATAACATGGACTATGAGATGTTTATTTACTTTCTTATTTATTTGTCTGCAGTGCTGAAGCCCACTAGGCAAGCATGTAACCAATGAGCTACAACCTCACTGCCTTGACTACAGATGCTTTTTTAAATTTCAAAGTTCAACTCAAACTGAGACAACTGGAAAATAAAAAAGAAAACAGAATAAGGTTAAGCTGTAGTTTCCATCTCAATCCTGCCCAGTTTGTTAAAATGCACTCATGGGAGAGGCCTAGGTTTCCTAACTAAGTCAGAAAACAAGACACACAGTTATTGATTAAACTGACTGTGTAATGATAATTATTCCTGCAGAGAAAAAAAAACTACCAGAGGGAAATCAAAAACTGCAGGACAGATTGGGGGAAAATCAAATTTATATGATTGAGGTCATTCCCTGCAAAAGAAAACAATCACATGGATAAAATAAACCAAGATCAACAGTGACACAATACACCAGGCAAGAAGATGAAACTCAACTCATGGAGAAGGAAACATCAGTGCTCTGATCAGGTGTCCACTCTAGCTGGCCTCATGACAGGATAAACATCAATTTGACAAAACCCAAGTTTGTCAACTCTGCAAGGCTAGAATTGTGGACAAAGAATGAAGTATCTATATAAAAGTGAAATTGGTACCTATAGTTTCTAAACAGCACCTGGAGACAGTGTGTGAAGGCAGTTTAGCTCTGGGGAGGCTGAGGCAGGAGGATTGTTGGTGCGGGAGAATTATCTGTATTCTGTCAATCATGTATTTTAATAAAACGCTGATTGGCCAGGCAGGAAGTATAGGTGGGTCAACCAGACAGGAAGTAGAGGCGGAGCAATGAGAACAGGAGAAGGCTAAGAAGGAGGAAGCCCATTTCTCCATTCTTGCCCAGACCACAGAGAAGCAAGATGTAACCTGCCCCGCTGGAAAAGGTACTGAGTCACGTGGCTACCATAGATGAGAATAATAGGTTAATATAAGCTATAAGAGTTAACAAGAAGCCTGAGCTAATGGGTCAATCAGTTTATAATCTTATGGAGTCTTGTGTGTGATTTTCTTTGGGGCTTGCCGGCTGTGGGGTACTGGGCGGGACAGAAACCCCAACAAGCCGGCCCTTCATGTTACAGATTGTAACCTGGAGGTCAGCCAAAAAAGAGTAACTGGCTAAAACTTAAACTAAAATTTTTTGATCCAGTAACTCTTGTTCTAGGAATAATTATTTACTTGGTACAAAACGTTGCATGCAGAAACATTCTTTATGTAGTACATTTAATAGTTAAATATTGTTACAGGGGAAAACAGGGTCTTTTCTTTGGGTTCTTAGTCTTATTAATAAAAAAAAACTTAGGACTAGGTTCAGAAGAAACCTTGAGGAAAATTTAATTAGTGTCTAAAAGAAAAAAAAATCCAGGGAAACAAGGTGTACATCTGTGTAGATCCCTGGAAGAATAAGATGGAGAAGGGGAAGCAAGTAGGCCTTAGTTCCTAAGCCACTGTGAGTTGGAGGAACAGCCACAGCAAATAAACAAAAAAAAATCCCTATCTACCACCAGCACTAGCAACACCACTACCAACAAAAACAAAACAACAACAACAACAACAACAAAAAAAAAAACAAAAAAAAGAGAAAAAAGAAAAAGAAGAAGAAAAAAGAATAAGAACGACCAGAGTACCTGAGAAAGTATCCCCTGTCCATGTTTGACAAGTATAGGAGGGAAGGAGGGAGAGAAAGAGAGGGAGACACACACACACACACACACACACACACACACACACACTGAGAGGGGGGGCAGAGGAGGGAGAGGAGGAGGGGGAGTGGGGGGAGGGAGAGGGAGAAGGAGAGGTAAAAGAAAAAGTTATGCTGACTTCACAACTGCAGCTCGACTTCCCCTAAATATGGGGAAGAAAAAGTGCAAAGTCTCATTAAAGGAACAATCACCCCTCTCATTTCCTCAGCATGACTGAAGGTGACTGACCCATCTGGGTTAATCCTGGGAGACCAGGGCTGCTCTCCACTCAGAGGGAGGCTACATTCTTTTGATAAGAAGGAAATAGTTTTCCCTTCTGGTTCTTCAAGAGCTTCAATGACAACAGCAGAGGTAACCAGAGTACTGTTTAAGGGACTTGTGGTGTGTCCACAAGACAGAATACTGTGCAGAAGGGAGTGTGAAAAAGTCTCAGATAATAGCCACTTGAAATATCTACATACACTACACAAGACCAAAATGCACATCCTATGGACATAGACAGCTCATGTACATGAACAAAGACACACACAGTGGTGTGACTAAGAGGACTGCTTTTCCCTGTCTTACGAAAGTCACTACTTCAATGAGAGCAGGGAACAGGTTAGTGAGTAGGATGTCTGGACAGACCAGAAGGCAATGGCTGGCTTTACTGTCCAAAAGCAAGCAGGACAAACTTCAGACAAACACTACAGAGGTCCCGAGTATGCAGGATTGTGTTTACATTGTGTTCAACACCCTCAATGAGACAGATCCACACACAAAACCTCTCTCTCTCACTCACGCGGCAAATTTCTGTATTTGGGGCTGATGGTCTATGCCTACAGTTTGTTTTATTCCCCTCCCCCCTTGAGCTAGTGTCTTGATGGCTCTGGCTATCCTGGTGTCCTGGTGCTGTATCCTGTGCTGGCCTTGGATTCTGCTTTAACCTCACAAGGGCTAGGACTGTGTGCATCACTATCTCTGGCTTAGAGATAAAAACATACAACCTTGAGCACAAGCCTAAGTATTTTCACAAGGAAAAAAAGAATTCTCCAGGCAAGTTTCAGGCAGACAGGATTCAGGTTGTGTTTTATGTGCATCTTTAACTCGTTTGAAGCCTGTTCTTATTCACAATACGGGTTGTGAAAAAGGGGTCATCAAGCCCTGTTCTGACTGAGAAACAAAAAGAATCTGAACCTAAGTACAATTTATGAGAGACAGAGGTTCTAGAGATTCCTTTTCTTGACTTAATGCAACTGAGTGTGGATAAAGAGACAGCTTGCTGGCCATCACATGACACATCTCTTTTTGTATCCATCCAATTACAGGGCTACTGTTAAGGTGGCCCTATATTGGTGTGTGTACCGGGTGTGTACTGGGTATGTACCGGGATAAGTGCATTTTTTAATTCAGGTCAGACCTAAAGAGACCTACTATCTTTTCAATTCTATCTCCATACTCCTCACATGGTCCAGATTCATCCACTAGTTTTCCCCAGAAAGAGTTGTTTGGCAAGACTCCTCTAGCCAAAGGTTAAAAGACAGATTGTCCCCTAGATGCCACTCTGGGAATGGGTCTGGACCAGCTAGTCACTCTTAGATCTCGTTTAATGTCTACTTTCTTCTGCTCCCAGATTTTGGAATGGGGTAAGGACTGGATCCAAGACTTATTAGGCCCTTGAGTGGGTACTTTTGTTTCTATAGTGTGGCCTCAAGTCACAAGTTCCATAGCTCTTCCCCCTAAGCAGCAAGCCTTCACGGAACCTCACACACTCTGCTCTTGGGCAGCCCCTACTCATTCTCAATCACTCTTGGTCAAACCACAAGGCTCTGCCCCTCAGTTTTCTGCCTTTCCATCCCTCCATTTCCTACCGGCATTCTTCAGAGTGGCTTGTTTTTCTTGGACTTCCTTCCCGTCAAGAGTGTGTTTCAGATCTTGCACCACTAGGTGGCAGGTCCCTCCTTCATGCTCCCTCCCAACTTTTTCTTGTCCATAAACCTTTCCAAGAAGAACAGGCTTTGAAAGGAGACTTCCTGAATTTTTCATTAAGTTGTTCCAAGAAACCAATGGGGACCACTAGGCAAGAGCGCTCCAGCCACAGTGAGAGTGGTGCTGGTGTAGGTGATGCCGGCAGGCTAACCTGTACGAGAACACGTGGTGAACACTGATAATCATTATCCCGTAAGATGTGGGCTGACTCCGGGCTAGGCTCACATGCTAACCCCTAGAGCTATGTAATAACCACCCGTGGCAAGGATCGTAGAGAAGCAGAGTTCTTGATCTGCAAGAACTCCTCTTTCTACCCAAAGGATAGAAATGTGAAATGTGTTGATTAACAGCATCCCGATCCTTCTGTTTTGGAGGCCAGGCGAATTCCAGCCACTGACACATGGTCCAGGAGACACTGTGTGGTGGGTGGGATGTGAAAAGCTATTGGAACAGCATTTACACAGTGTGTCAGCCAGGACAAGCGCAGGGTGGACAGCCCACCATACAGTCGCTGGGTAGAGGCTGGTTTCCTGATCAGTGCGCCAGCGCCACATCTCCAGGACAACATGGGGCAGAGCTCCTTTGGCAGCACAAAGCAGTTTTCTGAGGCAATGAGCAGGGTGGTATAAAGCCTATTTGGCTGGCATCCTCTCTGACCCAGGGACTGACCCTTTCCCTAACCTAGTAAACCCTGCTGCCACAGCAGAAGGACTTTCTGGCCCCAGCAGTCAGGGCACTGATTTTTTTTTTTCTTTTTTAAGGGTCTGGCCCTTCAGGTTTTTAAAGATCTTGCTGGTTTGGAATCAAAACTGCTTGCAGGAAGATTTAATTTTTAGCCATGAGTTTGTTACTCAAGAGTCAAGTTCTCTGAATGGGTGATTTAAGTTCACTGTTTTTTGCTAGATATAATGGTTGGTTTGGATCAAAGCAACGAGAGTCAGTTTCCTGGGTGACTACAAGTCTTTAGAGAGGAGCTCTAAAACACTGTGTGAAAGTCTGCACCACTGAATAAGACAGCTTGCCAAGGGGATTACTTTGAAGACAGACGCTAATATAGATGTGTTAGATCTCATTATTATAAGGGCACGCCTGGAAGAATGTTTCAGCGAGCCTACCTTTTACAGCAAGATAAATAAATGCCACTCACTCCACACATAATTATAGGCTAGAATGAAATGAGAAAATAACCAAGCAGAAAAGAGAGACTAGTATCAACTGCAGATGCTGTAGTAATAGCCAAAGCCACCGAAATGACTGCAGGCCTGACTCGAAGGCATTTCCTCTGGAGAATCACCCCATGGTCATTTACTTGAAAAACAATGAGAATACGATGCATGACTGTATCAAACAGTTAAGAAAGAAATGAAATAATCTATTTTGTGAGATTTGCTTCAGAATAATAATGGCAGAAAGGCACAGGTGGGATGAAACTGGCCCAGAGCATATACCTTTAAAACAACTGACAAGGACAGTTATTGGTTCTGCTTATCCTTAAACTTTCCAAAGTAAGTTTTTTAAAAAAGATATATATATATATATATATATATGTATATATATATATAAAATAAGAAAAAATTTTGATTACATGGGTGTTGAAAGCAAAAGGTGTTTTTCTTTCTATTCCTCTCAAAATTTATACTATCAATTTAGATAACAATTTTTAATAGAAAGGAGTTTGTCTGCAAGATTCCATGCCAATTTTGAGAGAAACACAAGTCCTTAACGTCTATGGGTGTGTGACAGAGTGAACCCCCTTCATAGTCAGGCTCCGCTGGGCTTAATGCTGGTTTCTGTGTCTGCTGGTTGTGTTCTTGGGCAGATTGCTTACTGCCTTCTCTACCTCAATTCTATCTACTTGAAAATGACTGTGTCACAGATATGACGAGGAGTGAGAGTAAGAGCCTTCTGGTTAGAGCTCTATTAATCTTCAAAGTTTCTCACTGAGGCAAGTGCTATTGGTGATCACAGTTATGCAATGAGGCTACTCGGGCCATGAGTGGCCTGTTCTAAGGTCAGGTCAAGATCCAAACTTTGGGGGTCAGAATCCCAAGTTCACATGCATGGCCACTCCACACGACCTTACATGGAACCTCACAGATCTGTACCCCCATCTTTGCAAGCCTACAGATGAAGGACCCAAGGACACAAAGAGAGCGTCTTTGCTGTAAAGGGGACACGTGTCTTTCCTGCCGTTAATTTTTTAAACAGCAACCTTCTTTTAGATTCAATAGCAGGTGAAAATATACAATTTGTATACATTAGAACTCATATTTTTCCCAAAAAGATATTTTGTGAAAATAAAATAAGAAAACCAAACTATGTCTCATAGGGAGATATGTGTATTAGTTCTATATTACTAAACAGGGTTTAAAATGGTAGAATTATTGTGTTGTAGGCAAGTAGCAAATGAAAAGACACAGAGGTCCTATAAAGCCCGAGGAGCTTACTCAGATGGCACTCAGCCCCAAGTCAAAGAACACGTCAATAAACATGGTAACTAGAGTCACAGGACCAAATAAGTAGGGGTGTAAGCAGTGCTTAGCTTGAATGACCAACCAATGATAAAAGCTCTGGCAAAGGTATGAACTCTGTGTAACGGGCACTGATGGTGCCACTTGTCACACGAATCAAACACCTGTCTCCATCCATAAATAGCCTTGGGTATTAGGAGGTTTACTACAAACTCTTAGCAAATCTACTATACTGAAATAAATTTTGGTAGGTTGAACACTTATTTTGCGGCTGGAACACAATGAACAGTGGGAATATAACTTAATCATAAAGTATATGTAATCCAAATACATAGAAGAAAGCCTTAAGAGTCTCAAAAATCAGTATTCTCAAAAAAAGCTTTAAAGGAACCAATTTCTTAGAATTTTATTTGCTACCAAATCATGACAACTCATAAAAAAACAAAATACACGAAACTACCCTAGATAAAAACATAAACCCAGCACTGAAAGGATTTTAAAGTAAAACAACCCAGAAACTTCCCATAGTAGTGAAGCTAAACTCATAATATACTGTCTTTAATAAATCTAAAGTGATATACTGATGTCAGGATCCACGATGTGAAATTCACAAAGAATCAGGAAAAAGTGAAAAATAGGAACTAAAGTGAATCATGCTGCGTTCACTGTTAGGTTGTGGTGGAAGAGTTCAGAACACTTGTGCTGTACTCTTAAAGGTCTTCATTTTACAGCCTCGGAAGAGACATTAGAATAAGGAACAGCATTAACTGTTCTGTAGCTCAGGCAGAAGGGGGCAGTGCCGAGCTAAAAAAACACAAGCAAGCTTTCAGAGCTATAGCTGAGTTTTCCCTGCCCAGGCACTTTGAAATCAATGGATTTGAAATCAATAATTATCTATATTAATTACAGGTAATATAGATAAGTAATATAAGGCTCTAGCAACTTTCAACCTTTAGAATATGTTTATGAATGTTTTTTGAAAGAAAAATCAAAGATAACTTAACAGAGTTTAAGAAACATGCACTGCCGAGCATCATCACCCGGCACCTGTGAAGACTTCCCGCGCGAGACCAGGGAAGCTGGTTTAACACAGCCATGCAAGGGAGCCTTTCAAAGAGATCAAAGGACCAAGTAGCTTACCATTCATCAGGCGAGCACCCATAATCCTCAGGTTCGGGGACATGGCTTCAAGAGGAGGGACAGAAAGAGAGGGAAAAATAATCACAGAAAGGCTGGAAACATAAAACCATGAATGAGGAAAGTGCTAAGAGGTGAGTTTCTAGACAGTTAAGAAAAACGAGCTTTTAGTTGGATCTGGAAGAATGGCAGTTAGTACAGTGAGCAGAACATGAGGATTTATGGTAACCAGGTGGACTTACAGAGGTACTCCATAGCCCAGAACTGATTGATACTCAGAAGCCAGAATTTAGTAATAAACATGTTTAAATTTAGCTGTTTAAACATATGCTATAAAGCTTGTAGGGCGTCAATCATTCGTATTTATAACCATTACAAAGTGTTTTAACAACACAAACATGCTAGTCACCTAGGGTATAGGAAAAAAAAATCTGCCAAATATTTTTTTCAGGAAGCTTTTTCTGCCTTGAGACAATAACTTCCTAAGAGGGGACAGGAAAGTACGAGTTGATTGTTAATTTGTTTGATTAAATGGAACCACTGGTATTCAAAATAGTTTACTCATCAAATAATTTTTAATCTTGAAAAATGTTTTCACTGATACTTTAATTTTACCCATGAGCCTGTGAAGCATGGGAAAAGATCCCCAGATACAGTCCATTTCAACCTCCACAGAACACCCCAAATACACATCAGAGTAGATTTTCTTATTCTGTGATTCTTTCATCACATATAATAAATCAGCATCTCCCCTTTAAGTTAGACTTTCTATACACAGGTAGAGTTCAAATGCACAGATGGTTCTCGATAAGCACAATAAGTTGCTGGAAACTTAAAGACTTCATTAACTCCCTAAATGCCTACTCACTTTTAACCTACTTAGCCAGGGCAGTGTCTTGTACTTCCAAAACATTAACTTCCCGTTCAGGAACAACATCCTCTCCATTACAGCGGATACAATGAAAGGGATCCTTTACCCCACTATTCTTTCCTGTCAAAGGCTTGTGTTTATTGTTTAGGAGGAAACACTCACCCTGACCATTTTGGGCTGGATTTCCAGGAAAGGTGCTGGCCTGTGGCAATGCACCATGGAAATGGGCTTTAGAACCAAGGACAATCACTTGCGATTAACCTCAAAGTTTGGGCTCCAGCCCTGGCACTATCCAGGGGAGCGTTGGTAACTGTCCAAGCAGGAAACACTGGAGGAAGGTCCAGACAGCTTGCATGCGCCTTTGCTCATGGAGAAGGTCCTAACAGCTTGCATGGGTATTGTGTCTCATTCATAGAGAAAGTCCTGACAGCTTGCATTGGTATTGTGTCCCATTCATGGGGAAGGTCCTGACAGCTTGCATTGGTATTGTGCCCCTGCTCATGGAGAAGGTCCTAACAGCTTGCACTGGTATTGTGTCCTGTTCATAGGGAAGGTCCTGACAGCTTGCATTGGTATTATGTTCCATTCACAGAGAAGGTCCTGACAGGCTGCATTGGTACTGTACCCCTGCTCAAGGCTTCACACCAGTGCGGGAGCTAGTGCTTCCTAAATCATGAGGCTTACCAGCCCCAGAGCACAAGGGCAACAGTGCCTGTCCCTGAGTCTGGTGCAGCCCTGGCAGAAGTTGAGTGCCATCCAGAGGGTGATGCGCAGCAAGTGACTTGTCTGTATGAGTTGCCATGAAGACAAGTCAGTGTGATCATATCTGTCCCAGGTAAATTCATTCTCAGATCTGGGTTAAGGACCACTATGTGTAGAAGCATCTCTTGACCTCATTACTCTATCCCATGCCATCTGAGGCTCGCACCGATTCTAATCCATTTTAGCACTGTTGTATTAACTATTACCTATCGACCAAGGTCACACTGTGAATTCTGTGTGGGAACCATGTGAACTCGGTTTATTAGTAGGTTTCTACTATCTAACAAAGAGCCACCCGCAGAAGGAGGCAGATCAGTATTTGTCGTAGGTATATGAAAGGTCGTGGTTGGTCACCAGACACATGAGCAGGCTATAACTAGTCCTCGGGGCTGGGTGTAGGACAACTGCGAAGATTTTCCTGGTGGATCTCTCCTTGGGGTTGTAGGGTTAGCTGATCTATCAAACATGCTTCTCAACAAAACCTCTATGTAAACTACTCCCATACTATCGTCGTTAAGAATCTTCATCTGTTTTACCGAAAGGGGAAGGGTGCATGATTTAACACTAGTCAAATGTCTAATCCCCCAAATAAAAAGAAAACAGCAACAAAAGAATTATTCAAGTTGCTTAATAGACTGTTGTTTTTCTTAAATTTTTTTATTTTATTTTTGCCCCAGAGATAGTATAGACTAAATTGCTGACGAGTACTGGCTATACGATAAACTCTTCAAACTGTCACAGTGTTGAGAACTTGGCCACTGAACACAGAGGTGCTTATTTACTGCAGACACTCAGCCGGCTGTGACAACATCCCCACAGTGTCACCTGCTACACTGATACTTTCCTAAGTGTGTCACAGTGCAACTTCTAGCTTGCAACAAGTTAAATTTATAAGTATAAACAGAGGTATCCTTATTACAAAGTTGATTTCTATGAAATAGTCATGGCTGGCAACTGTGTTTATCATGAAATCCAAACGAAGTCTGACGCAAAGCTTAACTGAAATGAGAGAAACTCTGTTAGAATTAAATTCTGAAACACTGGAGTTTATTCTATTCCTACAGAATTGCTGGATCCAGAGAACTCGCTAAAACCTACACTGCCGGGAGACTTGACAGCCCTGGCCTGCTAAGCTGATCCAATGAGACAGCACAGGACTTTCCTGAGAGCCCGAAGGAGGATTAGCTGTAAACTTATTTGTTGGCATTCAAAGTGTGTTGATTTCTCTTGCTTTGTCATTTCCTGAGGGTGCAGTGGGGATAAACATCAGGATCTCTTCTGCACTACCTCCTCGTATTGAACACAGCTGAGTGTAAACAGAAAACTGTGTAGGTTCCTGCAACCCACGAGTGCACAGTAAGGAGGCTGGCTTACTTCATCACGCAAAGTGTGGGAGGACAGGCTGGGTTTGAGGGACGGGCCAGTCCTGCCAGTTAGGTGGGCAATGCAATGAACGCCCTGTGATAACATTCAAAAATGAGGTGAAGAGATAAGGTGTGAATTATAGAGCTGAGCCATGTCTTAGATTCCCTCCTGTGACCTGTGGGAACAGGCAACAAGGCTACACCCCTGATAATTCACATACAAATTTATATATACATAAAATCACACCAAGAACTATGGGCACTAACACAATGAACAAACCCCTAGTGATGCTCGGAGGTAGCTGAACTAGCTGAAGTGTGGCTTCCAGTATTCTCGAAAGCATGCCGCCACACCTGAGCAGGACCCACTCCTATCGTATTGTTGATCGCCTGCAAACAAAGGGACTTCTGTTCTTATTACTAAACATGATGGTAGGGGTCCGCAGCTTGAAAGGACCTTAGAGGTTCATTTTATTAAGTTTTAATAAAGCTTTACAGAGTTAAGACTATCTGAAAGGGAACCGTCTAAGGTCCCAGGAGGGAATCTAAGACACGGCTCGGCTCTAGGATTCACACCTTATCTCGTCACCTCATTTTTAAATGTTCTCACAGGACGTTCATTGCATTGCCCACCTAACTGGCAGGACTGGCGCGTCCCTCAAACCCAGCCTGTCCCCCCACACTTTGTGTGATGAAGTTATCGACAGACAAGGGAAGAGTTCCGCTTCTGCACATGTGGCCAGGGTTGATTAAGACCCTATTCTGAGCATAAGGAAAACCCACAGAGAGAAGCCCTTCTGCCTCTGGCTGAACCATGTGTAAGTACTTGATGTCAAAGCGTATGACTATGATTCTCTTGCCCAGGAACAATTCTGGGGAGGATGGGGGAGAGCTGTTTCATCTGAGAACTATCAGGCTTCGGGATAAAGAGGGGAAAAAAAATGCAAACTGGAAACATCAGTATTCTTCCCAAATCAAAAGCCTGTCTCTATGGTGTGGAAAAGACATCAATCGCTGTATCCACAGGCTGAAGTCATTTTGAATCAAACTCTCTCCTCTCCTGGGGAACAAGCATTTTGGTCTCTGTTCCTGTTTGCAGACACTGTACATAGGAATAATAACAAATTCAGTTTAAAATGTTTTCAAAACTGAACACCCCTTTTCCACTGACTTGCTGCTTAAAGGCAACACATGAATGAAAACAATGGGTACAAATGCCCAAAGCAAGTAAGTATGATTAAGAAACCAATATTTACTCGCCTCACCGAGGTAAGAACGTTGCAAAATTTACTGATTAAGGCTAGTGCCACTCAACCAGAAGGAGGGTGCCTCTGAATGGTTTAGGTAAGCACACAAATAATAAGACAAAAATTAAATGGATGCCACAGCCAGTCTGAAGGACATTATCACTGCTGTTCTTCAAAGTGAAGGTGTTTATGTCCCTACCTCCTTCCTGTCACCAGCCTTTTAGATTGCTCTGTGACTGCAAAGAGGAGACATGATAAAGGATAAAACAAGAATAATTGTCCAAGCACCGTAGTATTATTTAACTTAACAACAGACAGAAGGCCTCTCCGCAGCTTCTTCCCACATCTCCGCTGCACCCTGACTTAGGTCAGAGCAAAGGGAAATGGTTTCTTATCGCCAGGCCCAGATGGCGGCCTTACAAGGCCCTAAATCCTGAGAGACAGGCCAGTCATTCTCCACCTCACAGCAGCCCCCAAAGAAAGCAAGACCCACTGTAAAATACACAATTAATCCACCCCAGAGTAAAAATAACTGCTTTCTAGACTAAAAGGCAAAATAAAACTTGAACCCTCCTTGCACAAGAATTTCCAAGTATTTCAAACCGATGGCATCAATTAAATGTGTATTTCTTACGGCAAGTAAAGGGAACACACTCACCCATAAGCCACGCCCGCGATGGTGCACTTCTTAAACTGCATCACATTGCACGTCAGGGTCCCAGTTTTGTCAGAAAATATGTACTTAACCTATGAACAAGTTTAAAATCCTAATTAATATTTCAGGGTTTTAAAAAAAATTTAAAAATGTTCCTCTTGGTGTCTTATGCATATCAGGCAGGAGCTACCTAGGAGCTAAATCCACCCTGACCAGAAATGTTTTATAGGGGGAAGAAAATGTATTTAAATTATACTTTCTTTAAAAGTCAACTTTGTTCTACTGTGGGGGTATAATGATGGCTAGAATTGCTCTCAGTACATTCTTTACGGAGCACAGGTCTTCTAGTATTTTAGTGATCAATTATTTTGTATATGGGCATTAATGTGTACTAGAAAAACTAGAGTCAGAGAGAAATCTGCTTCAGCATATTCTGAATTTTTACAGAAAGTTTCACTGCTGTTTTCAAATACAGACAGTACTAAGACCTAGCCAGTAATTCTCAAAATAACAAGAAATTCTAGGGTTGGCAAGAGCTTGTGCAGTTAACTTCAGACACCATCTAAATTGGTAAAGAACAATATAATCCGTTCTAAAAGGAATTTGAATAGTTTGTGTTGGAAAGTGGAGGAAGAGAAAACAAAAATTCTTTTTCAGTTAGCATCTATAAATGGTCTCTCTCTCTCTCTCTCTCTCTCTCTCTCTCTCTCTCTCACACACACACACACACACATATATACACAAATGTCACCTAAAGATGCTTCAGTTAGTGAAGGATGCACGTATGATGTGGACACCACAAGACTATATCACTGGCCTACTGAGGTCAAAACTGTGTGCATTTTATGATGCTTATATAATGATGACATCTCCTGACAATACACTGCTCAGAACAACCCCTGGGAAGTGATGCAAGGCTCTATATATTAATAAAGTCTTAGTTATAAATCTAATCGGAATTTCTATTTGACTAGACTCAAACAATTTAAATCTTTTCCTTCATTCTGGATGAGAGTCCTATAACTCAAAAACAGTCAACATTTTCATCAGACCGTCTGCCTGCTAAGAAACACACCTAGGCTTTGCACAATATCTCACCTTGAAAGAAAAGTCTGTTTACTGTTTGAAAATTTCGCTATGAAATATGACCACTGTATGTCAGGCACGAGCAAATGCATTTTTGTGGATTATTCAAACAAGGGAAAATGAAGAGCCGCTATTTCCTCTGAAGTCACCACACAAGGCGGAAATTCTACCAACTCTCACTTCTGATCCAACTGTGTCAGTAAGAGCTTACCTGGCCAAGTTCCTCATTGAGATTAGATGTCCGGGCCATTGCCGCAGTGTCTGTGGGCTCATAGTGCATGTCAAGGTCCTACAAAGAAGGAAGTGACATCCATCAATACAATGGGCTGGGAGACTGGTTCAGCAAAAGAAATCATTGTTTCTTTCATGTTTCACAGGTCACCACTGGACTGCTGAGCTCTCTGCAGCCACTCTAGTTCCTCACTGTCTGGACACAATTCTAGGTGACAGACCTTAGAAGTATCCAGTGGGGAATGGTTCGCTCTCATTGGAATGGAAAGGAGCGGTAGTGAGAGCCTGCTGTGGAGTCGAATAGTCCATTTACTTTCACTCTTCATTCTCAGCCAACTTAACCTCGTGCTGGGGTTAAGTTTTGCAATACCCATGAAGGGCTCCCTAGAGCGAGGCAAAGCGACTGTTCAGGATGCTTGCTAGAAAGGCAGCTAACGCTTTCCTACAGTTAGCTCTTCAGGCAACGGGAAAAGCTATCTTAAGTGACCACATCTGGCTTAACTTCCCAGGCTAAGTTTCTTTTAATACAGATACTTGACAGTCAACCGAGGAAGGTATAATTTTATATCTCTTTGAACTTGCCTTGCACCCAGGGACCATGAAGTCTGACCCCATCATCCAACCCCAATATGTGAGAGTTTTTACAGTAGAATATTGCATTAACAAGTTGGGACTGTGGCTCGTTGGGTTTCACACCTGTCCTGTCTCTGTTTCTGGGGCAGGCTTTTGAGTTGACATGTCATGCTGGAAGACAGACATTTGCCACGTGAGTTGTGTTGAGAGAGGAGAAGCGAGGGCCCACACAGATCAATCTGGAAACCACATGAAACGCAGACCAGCTGGAGGAGAGGAGGGGGTCTGAGTCAGGAGGGACAGGCTTGACAGAAGAACAGGCATGAGAGGACAGCCGAGGGTGAACACTTTCAAAGCTATCATTCAGGAATCCATACTGTATAACAAGACAACTGGCCTGAACCAGAATCCAGGAGACAGTTATTGATCTCATTTTTGCCCAAGGAGAAAGTGGGCTTGTCAGGGTCATCACAAAGTCTCTGCTGGCTAAGAGGATGGTTAAAAAGCAAGAGCCTGCCAGGCTAACTCAGCGTTACCATTATATATTTGAAACCAATTCTACTTTTTGAAAATCCACATAAAAAATAAGAACGTGAGTAGCCATTTGATTGCCACGGCACATTTACCTAATTATTTATATGAATGAAAGCCCCTCATTAACTTTAATTTATCTCTATATAGCTCAATTCTCTGGCACACATTCCCTGTGTGAAGTGAACTATGCTTGCTGCTTATTTCAGATTACTAAATTACACTGATCTTTTCCCAAACACAAGATCACTCATCACAGGAAGACAATGAACAGCTGCAAATGTATCTTTGGCTATATTTTTAAACTACTGATATTGCTCACATCCAAAGCTTTAAGATGAGTTTGGAACATAAAAAGTGAAATCAAAATTTCTCAAAAAATTCAAGTTTTTGGCAAATAATTTACACAAATCCATTAATTTTAACTAAGATAAAACTGAAAGAACAAAACAATATTTGCTGAAAAAATATAGAACCCAGATGTTTAATATATCTCTCCAATATTAAAATCATATATATATATATATATATATATATAATTCAAAAAGAAAAACTATGCACACCGAAATCATTTACAGTGTCGAAAATAAGCTAGAAGGATGAGCAAATCCCTCAGTCATGGTAGCAGAACCACAGTTAAGTGCTTGACTGCTAGAAAACTCTTTGTCTCTAAGCAGGTTCTTGACCTGCACAAACACCATGAGACTAAGCACTTTGTTAGTGTCCAGAAACGAAGGTGCACGTAGTCAGGTGACTGGACAGAGCTGCTTATATGGTAAATTATGACACTGCTTCTACAAGACGGATTTTCAGTTCCAAATGCACGGTCTCCTTCCTCTACAGATACTGTGTGTTCCCAACAGGCTTCCTGAACTAGACACCAGTTTTCCTCAGGATGTCTGCTGTTATCCATTCGCCTGACTCTGAGCAGACCATGTTAAAATTATATGAGGCTTAAAAACTACCACCACAGAGTCATCAAAAACGACATACAGTTGAGACTTAAATTTTTTTTAACCTCCAGAAATCAAAAGACTCCAACAGAGTAAATTTTTAAAAAGGACAACATACATGCTTAGGAAGATGACATATAATACAAATTCTTATTTACCCAATTTATGAAGTATGCCTGGGTAAATTTTACCACTTCTAATGTCACCAACAAGCTGATGGGAATGAGGTTGTTGAATAGGATAATGAAAGTCAGGAAGTTCAGCCCGAAATTACTAGCGCCACCATCTGTTGGGGAGAAGGGAGAAGATCATTTATAACTTTTTATGTCTGCAACGAGAAAACCCGAATATCGCAAGAATTTCCTATATTACACAGCTAGGCAAAGATTTTGCTAATAACATATTCTGATTCTCTAACCTCTCCTTCAGTGTAGAATCAAAGTTCCATCATCCCTTTCTCTAGGGTCCCACATGAGGGACTGAACCAACTTTAGACTGACAATAATCTGTCTATACTTGATATGTGTAGACGATAAATAATACAGGGTAATAACTACTTAGACAACATATACTTTGTATCATGCATATTAAGTAATCTGGATATGACTCACAGTACATGACAGAATACACACAGTACAAATAGTGGGCCATTTAAATAAAAGGCTTGGGCATCTGTCAGGTTATGGTCCTTTCCTGGAGGCCTAGAATCAGTTCCAATGCTACAGAGAGACAGTTGTACTTGTATTCAGCATGTTAATCCTATTAAGATCTCCACAGTGCTATTAAAAAGTGCAAGAAACCCAGCATGGCACTTCTAATCCCAGCACTCGGGAGGCAGAGGCAGGTGGATCTCTTGAGTTCGAGGCCAGCCTGGTCTAACGAGTGAGTTTCAGGATGTACGAGGCTACACAGAGAAACCCTATTCCATTCTGGTGGGGGCAGGGAAGCGCGGTGGTATGTGGCACGCGTGGATGAAAGAGAAGCGATCTAGCCTTTGGTACTGCACATTGTGCTCCAATAAGGAAGTCCAGAGATATCAGGAGGGTTGAAGGTTTGTAAATGCAAAGTTTCAACTGGGCGGAACCACTATGTGGATTCTTGAAAGCATTTTCAAAGCATGGTTCCAAAGCAAACACAATAGCAACTAGAACAATCCAAGTTGTAAGAACACTTCTTATTTTTCCAGTACTGGTCTCCCGGGAGGCCTCACGCACAGTCGGTAAGCATTACACTGAGCTGTATCCTTAGCTACAGGAACGTTACTCATGCGTAGGTAAATTAGCCTCCTAAGTAAATTAACTTCTTCCTCCTCAATAAGGAAAATAAAACAGGGAAGACTAATATGGTGTAAGGAATATACACAAACAAATTGATGGCAGTAATAACATTTTTTTCCATGCTGAAATAATAAATCAATAACTATAAAATAACTTGGGATAGCTGCAAAGCTAACTAAATGTAATAAAAAAAGTTAGATAAATGTAATAAAAACAACCTTAAAAATCTGTTTTTTGTTTTTTCCTGTAAGACTACGGCAATTTGTTTTCACACTTTGGGGAAATTGTTTACTGACTAAGTATTCATCACAGGGAAATGCAAACTCATTTCCTAGAAATATCCAGAGGGGATGCATTAATATGAGAACAGCGAGAATACATGCTCCAGACGGAAGTGATTAAGACTGCTCTCCCTGGGATAGGATGAACATTCACATAAAAGTTCTGTTACTGAGTTCAAAGAAAAGCACATTTAAAGGAAGAAAGGAAAGGAAAGGAAGGAAGGAAGGAAGGAAGGAAGGAAGGAAGGAAGGAGGGAGGAAAAAAGAAAAAACATTCAGTTCAAACATTTTTAAAGCATATAAATTATGCTTTCATAATATATTCAATACTCTTAATTTTCTCCACACATCATCTCCTTGCATGAGTTTAACTGCTATATTTAATATATTTTAGAGGGCAGCTTTTATTTAATGTATCATGTTAATGGTTATATTTATAAAGCATTTTATACTACTATGGAATGGAGGCATGCTTTTTAAGTATTTTATTAATTAATTAATTAATCTATTTATTTATTTATTTATTTGGTATCCTGCCTGCAGGCCAGAAGAGGGCACCAGATCTCATTACAGATGGTTTTGAGTCACCATGTGGTTGCTGGGAATTAAACTTAGGACCCCTGGAAGAGCAGTCAGTGCTCTTAACCTCTGAGCCACTTCTCCAGCCCCACTTTTAAGTACTTTGAAGTTTTGAGAACCTAAATTTTACTTGCTTTTCCTGGAAATCTATTGAAAAATGAAGAGAAGACTTCCAGTTATCCTAGCTACAAGTTTTCTTTTCATAAACAAGGGGACATTCCTCAAACTCAGTTAAGGTTGATGGCGAAGCAAATGTCTATTTAACTGAAAGGTAAAAAGTAAAGAAGTCAGCAGTTCATTGCTCACAGTGTAGATGGAGGTACCAGTCTTTCCCCGAATGCTTTCGATTCCAAATGGCCGAGCCCACAGAACAGACAAGAGACATGGCGATCAAGATGCAAAATAAGATCAGAATCTGTACATTCGTAATCCGCTCCACATTGGAGAGTTTAAGTGGCGGACTTGTGGAATTCTGTAAAACAAAACACAACAGAACGAATGGCAAACACTGCACAGTTTAGCATCGCTTACTTAGTATTCGATGAGGGTGACAAAGTCACAACTAGCACTTGGGCTTGAGCTGTAAACTCTTCCAAACACATGACAAGTGCAACAAGATGCCCACAGCTGCCACTTCTTTTTCTTACCATGTGCACCTTTTTCTGGGCTGTAAAATAATGAGAGAAAGGGGGAGGCTAACATTCATTTTGCAGACTGTGTCGGGGAGGTTAAGATGTATTGGTCTGCTTAAGCAAACAAGATCTTTCCACAGCATCTACGACCTGCCTTTGCTTAGAAAAGAGGCCGAGAAAAAAGACCCACGGCTCTGCAAACATCTCAACATCCCAAGGTCCTCTGGTGCCGCTCAGCAACTGTTTTACTGGACGCAGCAGTAGTTCAAGTCAAATCATCTATGATCAGTAACAGCAGCTGCGGCAGCAGGCTGGCTTAGGAGGCAGAGGCAGGAGGACCGTGGAGCAAGCCTGACCTATGCAGCAGAGCACAAGGAAGGCTTCTCTGCTCTATGTGATTTCAGTAGTTATGCCAGGTCTGAGCATGCTCAGGACATAAATGGAAATCCCTCATGGCAAATAGAAGTGAAGAATGATAGACTTGATAGCACAACCACGGTGGGAGCCCTGCCAACCATCTCACTTGGAATGACAGCAACGTCACACCTGTATGACGTACAGGGACACTGCTATTAGTATTAGCAGTACTAATAATAGAACTCCTATTAGTATTTCAAAGTGAGTTTCCTATACTTGCTACACTATTGAATGCAGATAGTATTACAATGTAGAGATGAAGCCCCCATGGTGTAGAGAAACATCAGGACAGTAGATGGCAAAAACAGTCTTGTATGGAATGCCATGGGAAAAAAATGGCTGTTTAATTTATAGTTTTTCTTTAAATTTTATGGAAAAATTCCAATTTTAAAATTTGATCATTGCATTATAGTAAAAGCATGAAATAAATACTTTAATGCAGACACTGGTACACAGACCACTTGAAGTGAGCACCAGCAGTTGGAAAACACACAGCACTATTGGGCGTTCTTACATCATGTGATCTTGGGAGAAGCTTCTCAGAATTCCCATGTGTAGCGAGCTCTTCACACAGGGAAGGAATTTCAAGATCTCATTCACCTTGTTCCCAATATGGGTGTGTGGTATGAGGCTAAAGGAATATCTGGCAGCTGATCTGCTCTGTTTGGGCCAAGGGCACCAAGAACGATGAGTCATGCATTTCCAAAAGAGTTAGGCTCAAAAGATTTCATAGATAAAGGTCCCACCTGCATCAGCTTGGTGTCATGGCCAGTGTAGACGACTATCCCATGGACCCACTGAGTATTTCTTAACTGAGCGCCTCGAAGAAGAATCTGGTCTGCTCCCAAGGGAACAGTGCTGCGACAGAGTGTATTGGCATTAGAAATGACATTGTCCAAGACGCTCAAGAAACGCACAACCATCACAGTTATCAAAGTCTCCACCATGAACACTTTATTTTTGGAAAGGAAGTATTTTTTTCCCACCAACAATGATAATTTTCCAATATAACTGTTGGGAAGACATTGGTTTTGTCCTTAAGATCAGACTGGTCATTTCCTATATAGCTTTACTCTCCCTGGGAGACTACAAGTATCCCCAAATATTACAAAGCTGAAGCTCCAACCCCCAACTGTGATGACATTTGTAGTCGTACCTCTACCAGGCTATGAGTTTTCGGTGAATTCAGGAGGGTGAAGCACTCTGATGCAATTAGTGCCCTAAGAAGACACCAGAGGGCCTTCTTTGTCACATAAAAATATACAGAGAAGACGTTTTTGATCAGATGCAAAGATGGCCTTCATCAGAGTCCAGTCATACTGGATATTTTTCATTATCCAGATGGGAAGAAAAACAAATTTCTACTTATAAAACTATCAGGTTCTATCATCACGGCTGTCAGAGCAAACCAATACACTATCTCAAATAGCAAGCAATGCTTGGGGATGAAGTAGCTGATCTCACATATGATTTTTCCTGAGTTAATAAGTTGACTTAAGTTTATGTAAAGTTTGGAATTGGTGAAGCTAAGATATCTGTCCCTACCCTCTCAATAAACACACATAAACACAATTTTAAATTACAGACAACTTTGTACACAATCAGGGTTCAAAAACAGCACACAGTAAAATAAGCCCAAAACTCATTCACATCTGGCACCATCATCCCCTTTCTGAAATAAGGGCCTAGACCTAAACCTTACAGTGTTCATCTTACAGGATTGGTGTCAGCTTCCCAGGGAATACAAACACATTTCCCATGAACGGCAATCATTTTGAAGCCATTTGCTTTCAAGACTTTAAATCACATTTTCATGAATAAGGCCCAGGTTGGGTCTTTTGTGTGTATCTTCTAAGGCTAACCGTGGGGCACATTATTTGGGCACGATATATAAACTTGACTCAAGAGTACCAAGGTACTATTGCAGGTGTGCCCTGAGTCAGTCGATAGAAATGGAAGATCCAAAGTTGAATGGGTCAAAGATTCTTCATAACCATGATGGTTTTCATTTAACAAGAAAGTAAAATGTAAAAAAAAAAAAAAAAAAGAGCCCAATATAAAGAAAATATACTTAAAACTTCTAGGAAAAGGAGGAAGGCATTTCTGATGGAAGTCTATAAAGACTATAGAACTTGTCAGTTAGAAAAGGCCATGGAGCTGGGGGAACTCTGTTTCTGGTGGGCTTAGGTTGTTGAGTCAGCTTCTAAGGCTAGAGATAATTTGGGCATTGGAGCTTCTTTCAGGAAATATACTCTTCTGGCTCAGTGGAATCAATCCGGATGTGTGGGTTAGAACAGCCCTGCGGGAGTCCTCAGGAAATAGTCTATTTCATCCCTCATCACTTACATCCAACAGCAGCCCTTAGGGCCCCTGGGGATGGGAATGAAGCTTAGACCATTGTGTGAGAAAATATAAAATGCCTGAGGACCGGTTATTATGTATGAAAAAGAGGTTTAATTTTGAGTCAATCTGCAGTTATCACAATGGAGGCTGAGTTGCCAGTATGTAAACCCTGCAGGAGACAAAACCATATTGAAACCACAGAACTCTCTTGTATATATGTCAATATTTGGAGTACACTTCAGGATTGAGGTGGTGGTGGGGGCTTTGAGGCTAAAGCAGGTTCCACAAAATACTTGAGAAGTTGCTGGATTTTGCTGTAGGGCATAAGTACACCCACCAATTCTCACCTAAACTGATTGGGCTCAGCATCACAGCCGGCATACATTCGTTGCTTCCCACTGCCTTCTACCCAACCTGTTCCTCTTTGAGCACCTGCCTCACTCATTCATTTCAACCTTTCCGATAAAATTAAGCATATTATAAAATTCCAGTGTCTTAAATCTTGGCACTATCATATAAAGTTTTCTTCATGGCATGGATTTGCTTGGCACCAATTTAATGAGAAGTTGGTAAGGAATGGAAGCCGGCCAGTTAAAAAATGTCAGACTTGAGAAATGATACTTGTCCAAATGGCCAAATTTATCATTAGTATATAACCATATGTTCAAGGAAAGATTACTTTGAAAATTCTAGAATTAACATTTACCTCAAAGATCAGAGGAAGTTTTGGGAATGAGATAAGTGTGTCTGTCACCTCAGGATATGTGTCACATGCCATGTACTTAGCAGCGTATCATTCATATTTTATAGTGAGAACATTGACAACATTCCTCTAGGCTGGTTGGACCAGAACATCTAGCTGACGCTTACCTGGCCACCACACCTATCTGGTAGACATCATCTACTGTGTAGAGGAGGTAGGGCAAAGAGGGAAAGAATGAAGACAGGAATCAGAAGTGGGGCAGCACACACCCCACTGTCTGGCGTGGTTCTGCCTGAATTCTTTGCTTTGCATTGTAAACTTCCTTGATAAAGAAGCCACGCTTGCTGTAGGTAATTCTTCTCCATGACGTCAGGCTCACCCTTATCAGGCTCACCCTGTTCTAATCAAGGGTCATGATCTCTACTCAATAAACCGAAATGTTCATGTTCAGCTACACTGCAGCTGGTCACGAGTGATAGCGGACCCGACTTTGTACCTCTCTTTCTTCTTGAAAGTTTCTTTACTCTTTCTTGGTTTTTATCCCATGAACTTCATCTCTAATCCCTGCTCTCTCAGCCTCCCAATGTTAGACAGTCCTTGGGTCTTTTGATTTTCCTATCCATATTCAATTTCAATGATTTTCCCAGTCCTAGTGAGGAGTTTAAATATCTATGTGAACTACTCTCAAGGTTAAGACATACATATATATATATATATATTTTTGAGACAGGTCTCTCTGTAGTTTTGGAGCTGTCCTGAAGCAATTTCTTGCTGACCAGGCTGGCCTTGAACTCACAGAGATCTGACTGCTCCTGCCTCTTGAGTGCTGGAATTAAAGGCCACCACTGCCCAGCCAGATATATTCAAATGCTGCTTGGACACCAAAAACTTATTAAGTCCACAACTAAAGGGATGATGTTTCCCCTCCATAACTCACTCATGGATCCCAAGTTTGCTCAGAAAATCTATAATACCCTACAAAGCCTTATGCAATCTGTTGGCTTTCACCTCAATTTCTTCTCGTTCAATCACAGTGATTTGCACTATTTCTTCTGTCCAGAATCTTCTACTTCAGACATTCAAGTCACTAAGCTCCTAACCTGACTAGAAGATGATTTAAACAATCACCATTGTTCAAATGTCACCTAAAAGAGGCTGACTTCAATCACCCCGAGAGATTCCCTCCTGAGGAAATTTCCTTATCTAACAGCTTTCCTCTTGTCCAATGCTATATCTCCCAAAAGCTCCATTGTTTTTTTTTATTAACAAACAATAAAATTTTCTTATTTATTCCTTTACTTCATCTACTTTACTACAAGAAAGTAAGCTTACAAAATCCTATATATTTATATATTGAAATTCAATCTTTAATATTGTGGCACTTAGAATGTTGGTTTCTTGAGAAGAGGGTGGTTAAGTCTTGAAATTTCTGCACTGGCAGGGACATGGGAAGGTCCTGGATTATATTACATGAGCGGGTCAGGATTCAGCCTCCTTCCAGAGGGATGTGAGTCAGAAAATAGGCATGCTTAAAACAAAGGTGGGAAGTGAGTATCCACAGTGAGAGCAGAGGAAAACCGTACGGGCTACTGGATTACACGGTGAAAGTGAGTTTACCTACCCATGTCCGTCGAGCCTTATATTCCCAACAAAATCATAGAGATGTCGGTTTGGGCTTTCACACTCGATTCTGCCGGAAATTCTCATCAAACTGTCAATGTCCTTGATGTCTGATGTTGCTGGTAAGCCCTGTTGGAACATTTTCAGATAAACAGAGTATTTTAGGTAAGTATGTTGGGGGCACTCTCCAAGGTCTTACAGACAAGGATCTCACTATTTTTCAAATAATTCCCTTCCTTTTAACCAGTATTGTCAAACTATAATATATCCTCATCAGTGTGGGCACAGACCTTTAGTAGAGAATAATGGAACTTCTATGGAAGTTCTAAAGTACCCAGTGCATCTGGTAAAAATCAGTATTTGCTGCTGAACACTCTCTGTATTTTAAAAATACAGAGAATCGAATGAAAGGGACAAAACACAGGCAGTCTGTTCAACAGAGCAGTTTGTCCGTCCCTCCTCTTTTTTCTTCTCTCACTCCCTCCCTCCTTGAGAGGGAGAACTTCCGAGCAGTCCTTCACCCAGCTGGAGGTGACAGGCACTGAGACCATCCACTCAGCCGTCTGACTTTATTTCTACCATAGGCCAAATACCCTGCTGGCATTGCTGTCACTCAGCAAGAAGTTAATATTACATATTTTAATTCCGCCCCTCAAAGCTTTAGAAACAAAATCTCACAGTTGTTCTGTGCGATTTTTCATAAAACGAAAAGCAAATTAGTAATATAAAGCAGTTCAAATCCCCAAGATAAATGTTTCTGAAGAGCAATGAAAATTTTGGCTTGTAAGTGTGGCAAACCCAATGCTAACTGGGGGGCTAAGAAAAACAAATTAACATGCCAAAGAGCTTAGAACACCGGATGGTAGTGGGACTTACCTGTAATCCCAGCACTCACAGAAGCAGGTGGATATCTGTGAGTTTGAAGCCAGACTGGTCTACATAATGAGTGCAGGCCAATTAGAGCACACTTGTATGCATTCTCTCTCTCTCTCTTTCTCTCTTTCTTTCTCTCTCTCTCTCTCTCTCTCTCTCACACACACACACACACACACACATACATATACACACAAAAAAAACAAGCATTAAGAACTGCTACTATTACTATTATTATCATTCAAGCATTGACTATTATACAAAATAGTATTACAAATAATATTTCATGGTTGGTCATATTTATCCAGTAAAGTAAATGAGTCCCACAATACTTAATGTTACTGGCTGATGAAACATTTTCCACAATGGCTCAAAGAGAAAACAGTTCTAATTAGACAGATTCACTCTTAGACAGAGGTTCTTAAATACAGAGCAGAAAGCAGTAACTGGGAGCTGATGGCAGAACTCACCTGTCTAATTTTCAAGTTGGTTTCACCATCTAAGTTGGATGTCTCGATGTAGCACATGGCCTGGGGCTCACTGTTATTCGTAATTGAGAAACACAAAGATTTAGTTGGGGAAGGGAAGGAAGGTACCAACTGCCATTGATCTAAGAGCTCAGACTTACCAAAGCCATTTGTTCTAGACAAAGCCCTGGTCCCCTAGCTTCTTGGTGCTTCTCATTCTAACAGCGAGACGGTATGAGGCAGAGCTACTCATGCACAACACTCATAGATCAGCCTTCCAGCCAGGAGAACCCCAAAAGCCACTTCCTGACAACACTCGTGATGAGCTTCAAGATCACATAATGAGGAGCCACACTATGTAAACCGCTTATCCATACAGACACAACACAGACTGTTCTGAAGTCTAACGGAGGTTTGTGTCCAGATTTATCTCCAGCTCAGAATGGCCAGTCAGGCTTCATGCTCATAGCCCACATGTAAATTGGTTATGCAAAATGGTTGATTAAAAACTTCCAGATTGCTCCCTCTACAAGCTTGTACTTACTACTTTAATCCTTTAGCTGTGATGACAAGATCACACAGGCCACATACTATTAAGGCTACTTTTAAAGGGATGTAATTTTACAAAGAAAGTGACGTTATACTTTATATTTTCTGGCCTATTAAGAATAAACTTCTTTGAGAGGCCTCTCTCTCTCTTTCTCTCTCTCTCTGTACATGTTCAAGTGTACTCAGGTACTTATGTGTGGGGGAGGGCACGGATGTGGAGGTCAGAGAAAAAGCTCAGTTACCAGTTCTCAGGTGCTATCCATGTATTTTTGAGACAGGGTCTCTCATTGGCCTCAAACCTGCTGAGTAGACCAGGTTAGCTGGTCAGTGAGCTCAAGGGATCCACCTGTGTGTGTCTCCTTGGCTGTGAGCTTACAAGGGTACCATCACACCTGGGCGTTTTCACGTAGGCTCGCAGGGATGGAACTCGGGTCCTTAGGTTTACGAACAGGCACTTTATAGACTGGGCTATCAGCGCAGCCCGACTGAGATGTCTGAAGCAGAAAAATACTAAACCTAAAGGCAGTACACCTGGCTATACTGCTTCGTGTCCTGAAGCTGGCACACGTGAGTGCCGGAAGTGGATTCTGTATGTGGTGACTGTATTTTCTAGTTTTGTTGGAGCATCTTACTTTATTTGCTTGGCTGCTGCAGACATGTGAGTGTGGCCGGACCGTAAAATTAATCCTCAACTCTATAGAAAAATATTCTGAACATAACCCAAGAAGCAGTCTTAAGTTAAACCAATCTCATTAACACTTGGCTACATAATACACCTAGTTTGTTATCTGATAAATAACTATTAATATAAAAGAAACTTACAAATCACAAATATTGGAATTTTTTAATCAACTTCCAATTTGTACATGTGCAAAACAATCTGCCCTAAGTGCTGGAAATGGGCATTCAGCCTAATTCTGTCACCCTGAAATTAAGAAAAGCTACTTAAAGGCATAGACATCAATCAAATTTTATACATTCATTTTAAAGGAACTTCCCACCTTCTCCAAGTTTTTCCTATGAGCTTTTCTTTCATATAGGCTATTTCCCAAGCAGAGAAATCTTTCCATATTTCTATTTTCACTCTCAATTATTCCAAAAAGTATTTTTAACTCATGGTCAAAATAGTTATTCTCACTCTGGCAGCTGTCCAACTTTCTAATTTCCTCATACCCATTTGAAACATAAATGGTTTCTCAAACCATGAAACACATTTCCCTGCTAACAAAGAAAAATGGCAACAAACGAAACACTAACTGAACTGTCGGTTCTCTTTCTAGGCAATAAAACTTATTAACATGCTACTAATAAATATACTTATCTAAAGCTGGTCTTATAGTAAAAAGAACAACATTCTAACACTGCCCTCCATACAAAACACCTTGACTAAGTGTTGACTAAATGACTAAGAAATTAGGATGTTTAAATGCTCACTTCTACTTAACGTGAAGCCAATTAAATCACCCCAATTTGGAACATTCCTAAAGATGATTTAAGACAGTTAGGACTGCAGGGCTGTGAAGAAGCAGAAGAATCAGGATTCATGCTAGTTCATAAATACTTTAGCAAGTCAGGATAACATCCAAGACACAGTCAGATGCAAAGCAAGCTTTTTTGATTAGTAAGTGGAAAAAACGAAACAAGATGCAGACCACGGTACAGACACCAGGGGACGGCTGACATGGACCACAGCAATGTGCGCTTGCTCACAAGTTACACGTGGGAGAAAGACCGGTCCCCAAGCATGCAGCACAAAAACGTACGACATCCAGCCTTGTGCAGGGGTCCTCTATAAACCCTAGACAAGCCCAAATTTTTGTTGCAGTCACTGCAGAAATTCCACAGAACTTGAAGAAAATTTTGAAATAGGAGAATAAGAAAACATGCTTAAAATGTAGTCAGCTTTCAGTGGTTGTTTGAGGAAAAGCTGAACACTGTACAAGAACAATATGCCGGAGAATTAGCGGCAAAAGTCTCAAAAGTTGAGGCATATTGTTAAAACATATGTGACTGGTGCAAAGGAAATTAACGTCTCTTGGCCTCCTATTGATAATAATAGGAGCTCCGTCTGCCCAGCTGAGGGACAAATGACATCCACCTTTAAGACGCCTCTGATGCGCGTCATCTAGCAATATGCGTGCTTGGCGCTTTTAAAGAAGCGACAGAGCTCAACTGCATTTGGGCGCCATTGTTGCTTGGTTTAAGGTGAGGACCCGCGTACACACACCCTGTGTGACTCTGTGGTTCTGACCTGGAGGACAGACTGATGAGATCTGCTGGGAGGTGCTCCCCATTGGCCACTCTCACTATTTCCCCCACTGCCACCTACACGTCCCAGTTTAAAATAATTAAAATGGGAGAAAAAAAAACAAACAACAGAGAAAATAAAAAACCAAACAAATGGACAAAAGAGACAGAAGGTTTGAAATTATTATAGAAAAGAATTCATGTTAATAAAAATGTCTAATGCCGATTTTTTCAAAACTTATTTTGATCAGGTCTGAAGGGAAATGAAAATATTTTACACCCAAAAGATACTTATTTGAGTTTTTAAGCCCAATTTTCAATTTCTAATGTGAAAAGTTAATATTATAAAGCTTATAAATAAGTATTTCTTATCAAATTAAATAAAAAACATTTTATAGAATTATTTTATCTTACAGATTTTTTTTTTGTAAAAATCCTTAATTTGCTGCCAACACTATGCTTACTCCTATCAAATAAGCCAAGAAAAAAAATTAAAACTATGTGTTAGCTATCTGAAAAACAAGTATACTACATTAAGCCCCCTCTCACATACTGCAAAAGTAATAAACTCTGTTCTGATTCCAAATATTTTCAAAGTTGATTGCATCCCTATCATATTAACTTTACTGGAAAGCTGCACGGATGTCTGTCTTAGGCAGCTAGGGGCATGGTTGTGCCATCTGGAGTTATTTAATAATTGATAAAGTATAAGTAACATATTGTGCTTTACAGAGTATAGTCTGATTCAAGGAGGGTCTGAAAAGGCCTGACCGACAACCTGCCTGGACATGAATTAAATAAAGTCTTGGTCGCTGTGTCATGTTTCTGTCACATAGTGGTATCAGTGGCCACGTGCTAAAATTTCAGTTTGCTCATTTCATGTGGAAAGGCAGTGAAACACAGAGCTTCCAATGAAATTCTAATCTAATTCCAAGCCACCTCAAGCTCACCCGTGAACTTGCTCTCACGTAACCTAGCCTACCAAGTCCAGGAGCAAACAGTTCCATTTCAGAAATGCTCCCTGACGAAGCTCTGAGCAGTCGCTGAGAACAATGGTCTGACTAAAACAGTCCTCTGTGCTACACAAAGACGCCAGCTGCAAACTCAAGAAACCAAAGCCCTGGATACCTGTTTCTATAATTAGGCAAGGAGCGACTAGCTTCCTGGTTGTTATTCACTAACTAGTCAAATAGAAATATCCTATCATTTTAAACCACGACCTGATTAAATAGATTTTGAAAAAAGGACACTGTCCATATTTTTATGTGGATTTTACAAATCAAACTGTCCAAGGAAATGATGATAAACAACCTCAAGAATATTAAAAAACATTTCTTAATTTATTTTTGGACTAGTTTTAAGGTTTTAAATCCTAAATTTACATAAGGACTAGTGTGATAGTTTTTAATCCTAAAGCCATATGTTCTGAATACTGATTCACAACTATCTTAAACATGAATACAACAAAAATTATCTAAATTCAGTAACAGAAAAGACCAAAAGAAAGAATAAAGTACTCATTTTTTTTTTTTTTTGGCTAGAAAACTGTATCATTTAGTAAGGTACAATGACAAAAAGAAATAAACCACTCATCGGTTCTCTTGTGCCATTTCACCAGAAGGAATAGGAAAGTTTGCAAGAGAGATGATTACTGCACCATAAAGGAACACATGAATTAGGACTGAAAGAGAAAAATCAGCAGAGCCCAGTCTATGAATGGCATAAAGTCAATGACAGGGAATCTTAAGCCGAGTTAGTGGTCCACACACACCACAAGGATCTGGATGTAGCCAGAGGAGATTGAGACGAGATTCTCAAGCTTTGGCTAGGTAGTACTGATACTTATTCTGTATGGCAAACATGAAGCCAATCCATTTTTTAGACACTTAAAAATCATGAGAGGTTTGCAATTCTTCGTTTATTCTTTATTTCCTTGGAGAAACCACAAGGTCAATGCAGGGTAGAGAAAGCATCCTCTACCCTGTTTGAGCATCAGTAGGTGTCTCTACCTTGATGAGAGAAGGACAATGTCAGCAGGTATATACTCTTTGCCTTTTATTATAACTATATCTCCAACATTTACCTGAAAGAAAACTGGGAATTGGTTAATTATCTGCATGGAAAGATAGCAAAAAAAAAAAAAAATACAACCCATTGTATTAATACACAGAATAAAAAAAACCATTCTAATCTTCACGAAAATGGCATAAAATTATTTAGGGGCAAATGTATATTTGTTTTTAATCTGTTACTTATCTTAATAAAATTTATTGAACAATTATGATGACTTGGTTGACATCTCAACCTCTTAAATGTTCTTGCTTTGACATAAAAATAAGAAGGAGGAAGCTGCTGGCTAAAACCTCCACCCTACCCAAGGAAGTCTCAGTACAAGTGGAGAAATAATCGTATCTGTGACTACTCTTCACAGTGACCCTCATGCAAAAAGAATCCACTTAAATTTATAATTTAGAGAGGAAGAAAACATCTGCGATTCTAAGTTCCTGAGTCACATGTTCAGGGTAAGTGGAAAAGCCGAGACTCAAATCCACACCTACCTATCACATAATCTGATGCTTGGCCTAACTGTAATGAGACTATCATTATATTTAAAATAAACAGCAAAGTTTCTTTATTATGCTGAGTATGGTATGAAGATGAATTAAAGTCCTTTGTGGCCAGAAACTATTAGAAGTGATTTGTCAGTGTTCTTACTACTTTTGGTAAACAATGCATCTCCCACTCAGCAATACCTGGCTCTGCTTCCTTAGTGGGAATTATGACAGGGAATTACTGCAGATAGGGCCATTGTGCTTGGTTTTATCTATTGGGAGAAATAGGTGACGGAAAGCTGGAAGGGCCATCTTATAATCCACAGTATGTATGCTAGTTGCTCAAGGAGGAAAGCGTTGGGTGGCATGCTCAAAAAAAAAAAAATCACGTTTGTTGAAACTTGTCATGTGGAATATCTAAAAGTGATAAAATACAAAGGTTGCTGGAATCGAACACCAATTGCCTCAAAAGACGGTGTAAGAAGAAAAATGCAGTTATAAAACTGGTAAGCATAAATACATATTATTCCTTAAAAATGTGCAGTGACAGTTAACTAATAGAGCAAGGACAAGAGTTTGATTTTATGTTTAAAGTATAATGTTGTGACTCTTTTGTTTTATTTGGTACAAGTATTTAATATATTCCCCAGTTATCTGTGGCATCTTTTGTTATACATAGGTTTAAGGTTTATATAATCATGATCATGAAATACTGATCTTCCCAAACACTCATTGAAAACCTTTGTCCTATTAGTGTGTATTTCAAAACAGCATTTTAATGCTTGATTCTTTTAGCCAGATGGAATTTAATTTTGTGCAAATCATGATTTAGATGTAGCCTAAATATTCATTTTTTTTGACCCTGCCAATCTACAATTTTTGCCTCACTTATCAAATAATGTACATGCCTCATTTCAGGACACTACATTCTTTTCTATTTTATTTGTTAATATCTATTTTTGAACAGGCTTTTAAGACAGATGATAATTTCTTTGGGAGTATGTTACATTAATAATCTCAAACAAGAGATCTCATTTTTAATGTTGAAAGAACATGTATTTGTGCATTTATTGGCGTCTTTTAGTGGGGGCGAGAAAGAAAGTAGCTTCTCTTTAGATGTTAAGGATTCACAGAAGTGAGGCTGCTGTGATAGAATCTTCTGGGATCCCAACGCTCAAGAAGCTGAGTCAGAAGACTGGCTCGGTCTAAGGCCAGTTACTGTCTTTCCACAGGTCACATAGATTTTGTATGTAAGCATTCCACATCATCAGTAGGAATGAGAGCTCTTTTTCCTGTTTCCGGATGATACTGCAAACATCAAAATATTGTGAGTTTTGTGTGTTTATCTTGAATTCATCACTGAATCAACTTTGGGAATGAAATTATCTAGTTATAACTACTAAATAACTTCAGTTCTTTTTAATTGGGTGGCTTCTGGGTGACAATCTAAATTCTATCTTTTTATATCATAATATGGAATATGCATGATAAATTTGACCCTGACCTCAAGAATGACTAACAATGCTATTGTCATGGGTAACCAGTCAGTGATTTATTGTCTTTGTCTAGTAAGAATTTAAAAATGTGGCTGGGTGGTGGTGGCGTACACCTTTAATCTCAGTACTCGGGAGGCAGAGGCAGGTGGATCTCTGTGAGTTCAAGGCCAGCCTGGTCTACAAGAGCTAGTTCCAGAACAGGCTCCAAAGCTACAGAGAAACCCTGTCTTGAAAAACAAAAAAATTAAAAATGAGTTGGGCAATGGTGGCACACGCCTTTAATCCTAGCACTTGGCAGACATAGTGGATCTCTTTGAGTTGGAAGTCAGCCTGGTCTACAGGGCTAGTTCCAGGACAGGCTCCAAAGCTAAGAAACCCTGTCAGGAAAAACAAAACAAATTAAAAATGATAGTTGCGATAATCCATGTAGACTAGCATAACCTCAAAATAATGATCGCCACTAGGAAAATGCGAAGGTTAATTTTATAAGGGAGCAGAAGAGAGCTATTGCTTGACTGTATATTCCTGAGCAAGAAGTCCAGGAAAGAAGAAAAAACTGATATATTAATTTTCAAAAATGTGCCTTTCTGTTAACTATACTGATAATCTAAATTCAATCCGTTGTATCTGATTCTACCCCATCTGTCTCTCTATGAAATGTCTAAATCCACAAGTGCCAGATGAGCCAATGAAGGCAAGTTCCTCCTGAAAGTTTTTAGCTGTTTTGTTTATTCTTCTGCAACAGAGCTGAGTAGCACAGAAATACAGCACCCTGAGGGCATTTTTCTCCTAATTACTTTAATGTCAAAGACCAGAAAGCAGAGAGATGTGAATGTTCTCATCCCTGCAAGAGGAGATATCAGTTCCTAGTCTAGCCACTGATTTAAAAAAAAAAATCAACAAAAATAGAATTAGTTTCTTATTGAGAAGAGACCCTATTCCTTCACGGTCAGAAGGTGACCACAAATGTGAGCAGGGAGAATCAAGTGCGTGGACTTTAATGGGGTGCAGATGAATTGGCAGCAGGCAACACTTTTGCTGTCCCAGTCAAATACTCTCCTGTGAGATATATGTCCAGTGTCCACAGCAGTGGGCTCCAAAAGCCATCTAATGAGTCACCACGGCTATTCTCTGTGGATGACTGGGGATCCAAATTCTGGAACTAAGAACTGACAGTCGTTATTGCTTACCTTTAAGGTCTAACAAGAATGGACACCTGGGTAGCACTGACCAAATTACAACTCCACCCACCAACTGCCGAGGCAGAGGTCTAGCAAGCCGATCTACCTCCAAAGCCAAGGACTGACTCCTGCTTCATTAGAAAATGATGTTTAGTTTGTATGACTATGTCTCTTGAAATAATAGTAATAAATAAATGGGGGTGATTTCACTACATGAATTTGAACTAAAACATGCAAATGCAAAACATCAGAACTTGATTTTTTTTTTTAGCTTGGACAGTAGATGAAAAAACAAAATTTACAAAACAAAATGAATAAAATCTATGAAAGGAGTGCTCAAAATATAGTGTGAAACAGGACTGTTCTGGACAGTACTTTCCAAAGGAATAGCCTTCCTGGGCGAGTACAGAAACGCTCAGTGCATAGAGCGAAGGGGACACTCACAGACCTTTACAGTAACTACCAAACAGCCTCCATATCAGTGGAGTTGCTGACGACTGCCTGCAATAATGCACAGTTACGTCTACAAAGTGAAACTCTATGCACTTCTTTCGTGACAAAATAAAAACGAATGCATACCTTTTCCCAGTGAACAATTTCCCAAGCACCATTTCTCAAAACTGCAAAGAGAAGAGATGACAGGTTAAAGGACACTCCCTTACCACCGGGCGCAAGTCTCTGTCTAATGGAGTGGTCACTCGAAGTGAGTGGCTTTGAATGAAATGACCAGCAGCCATACGGCGCCTTTAAGAACCAGCTGCGGCAGCAGGATCACACATGGAAATCAAAACTTCCAGTTTCTATGTCAGCCCCCACAGTGATTCGCCTCTCACTCAAGGCAGCTTTATTGGAGAGGCCATATGCCTCCTCCAAGACACAGGGGAACGTCAAGGGTAACTTGGGATGGGGGTGGGGAGAAAAAAAAACCACAGAAAATTATATAAAAGGGAAGTGACTGGCCTACATCCATTTCCTAATGACAACCTTTATCCTCAGGTTGTGCTGGTCTACATGGATTACTGCAACTATCAACTTTTAAACTTGAATAGACAAAGACAATACAACAGGGACACCATAGATTTCTAATTAGTAAGATTTTACTACAAGGAAGCAACAGAACAAAATATGTATTACTAGGTCCATAATAATGCAAAAACATTTCATGTTTGGCTTACTAGAAAAAGTGAAGCAAGCTATTCTGAAATTATGAGCGAAGAGTGGGTATTGTATATGGGCTTACTGCTGCAGGGTACAGTACATTTACTCGGTATCTCTAAACCCACCCACTCTAGGTGTGTGTTGTGACACTGAGCACACTATGCATACCAAAGCCTGAACACAGTGCAAGGTAATAACAGGAGGTAGCAACACCACACCAAGGAGATAAAGAAAAAAAAATCATGGTCCATTGACAAATGACACAGACATTAGAGCCTTGAGGGCAAAGCCAAGGTTTGCACATATACAATGTAAAAGTACAAAATAAACAATTTATAGTTGCTGTAGAGTAATCCTTCTGTACACTGTGAATATGTATTACTCTCATTGGTTAATAAAAGTTGACAGGCTAGAGGCTGGGCAGGAAGTTAGGAGGGAAAGCCAAACTGAGGATGATGGGAGAAGGAGGGTGGAGTCAGGAGAGAAACGAGACAGCCACCCAGGAAACAAGACACGCTAGAGGACAGGTAAAGCCATGAGCCCAGATACATAGAAATGGATTAATTTAAATGTAAAAATTAGTAATAGGTCTGAGCTACTGATTGAGAGTTTATAAATAATATTAAGTCTCTGTGTGGTAATTTGGAAGTGGCTACTGGGATGGGGAGCAGGTGGTCTGGACAGGAAAACTATTGCCTACATACAGTAAAAAAAAAAATACACGGTATTCAATTCCTTTTGATGTCAGAAGAGACTGAGTTGGAACCTCTAGAAAAAGTCACAAAAACAAGCACAAAGCATTAGATATCAAACCCAGTATTAATTCCAGATCATGTTTTAAAACTGGTATTGTAATATACACTAGTTTAATCTAGGTAATAATTCTTATGCTTCCAAATTCTCTTAAATCAGGGCTTGTGTCTCTCTTAGCTCCTTATTTCTAATGTTCTGCACCACTTCTGTCACTGAGACATCCAGATGCTGATAGAAAAACAAATGCAAGAATAAACACCTTGCACGACATTTTGGTGAGCTGATAACTTTATTAAATTCAATTTCAACTATACACCCCCAGGATTCTATCTAGTCTGTAAAACTCTAAGGCGAGCAGAGAACACACAAACTAACTCCACGAGGAAGGCTGCTCTTTGCCAGTGTTCACACCGTCCCAGGAGTCAGAGGACGTATCTCACAGTAAAGCCTGGGCTTAGGCTGTGTCTACTGATGCTTCCTAGAGTCTTCCTCAGAATGGTTTGTCACCATGAATCAAAATTAAAGGGGCAAACATGCTGCCTGTTGCTCATAACCTAGCAGCTAAAATATAAACAGGATTCCACAGGAGAGACGGCCAAGTGCTGTCCACGTTGACTCTAAATGGATTAACTGATACAATGTTTGCACAAAAATACGTAGATTTTGTTATTGAAATCTTTTTCCTTCAGGGCCTATTTCTTATTAAGCAAATGTTTTTTTTTTCCAAATCCAATATTTACCCTCCCCCCTTTTCTTTGACATATGCATGTGTGTGAATGTGTGTGCATATATGCCATGTTGGTGTGTGGGCGTATGTATGTGTGCACAGGTGAGTGTGTGTGTGTGTGTTTCTAGAAATCCTAAGTCTCTTCCTTATGTTTGCATAGCAAGGGCCTTCACCCACTGAGCCGTCTCCCCAGCCTCATTTTTTGTTCTTTTGTTGTTTATTTGTTTTTAAGCCATTGTCTAATATTTCTAAAACAATGAAATCTGACATAAAACAATTCTGGCTATACAGAAGGAGTTTTCTGAGGATCAACTGAACAGCACTGTAACTGTAGTTAAAGCATGCTCTCCCTGCAAGCTGAGGAGAGGGTAGATCTTAACCATCCCACCAAAGAAAACCATGTCTTAAGTCAGTTACTCTACGTCACCTAACTTGTCCTTTTGTGATAGTAATTTGGCTGTTTTAAGTCCTTTGTCTTTTATAAAAAAAAATTATAGTTTTTTTTGATTTTGTTGCTCATTTTCTCTTTTTCCACCCAGGTTTCACCATAATGCCCTTTCGTTGGCCTTGACTTGAGAGCCTCCTGGTACAGCTTCTTGAATGCTGAAACTGTATTTGCCACTAGTGAAGGTTGAATCGTTAATTAAGAAAAATGTATATGAATATTTTGTCTGCATTTATGTTTGTGTACCACAGGCATGGTTGGTACACAGAGGCCAGAAGAAGGGATCGGATGCTCTGGACTGAAGTTACAGATGGTTATGAGACACCATGTGGGTACTGGGAATTGAACCTGGGTCTTCTGGAAGAGCAGTCAATGCTCTTAACCACTGAACCATCTCTCCAGCCCTGAATCATCAATACTTAAAACCTAACACACACACATCCATGATCACAACTAAATCCCTTCTTAAATTTTATTTGGAGCTCCAATCTTCTAATTCATGGTTAAACTATATCTCTCCATTTACTTACGTCTCCATTAATTTTCTCTTAGATATATTTTCCAGTTTTCTGTAAATTGATCTTTCATAAGGTTTTCTGATATTCAATTTCTTTTTTTACAAATGATATTTTTATTTCATTTAAAATCAGTTACTAGTAATATGTATAACTGTATTAAACTTTGGCACAATCACCTTTTTGTCTGGGAACTCTTGTATTAGTTTAGGTACAGTTGTTTTCAAATTATGATTAATAATATTTTCTAAGCTACTTGAAATTTTCTATATTAAGAATGTCAAAACATGCTTTTAGATGGAGATATGTCACCTGTATCACTGTTCATCTCATTTTAAAAAATTAACAACTTCTCTTATTATGGACAAATATAGACTTGTTTAACTAATAAAAAATTTCCTACAGGGCTAGAGATGGCTCACGGCTGAGAGTGTTTTCAGAGGACTTGAGTGTGGATCTCAGCATCCATGCCACGCTGCTTACAACTGCTTGTAACTCCAGTCCCAGGAGATCCAATGCCCTCTTCTTGTTTCCCTAAGCACCCCCCACACAAGCATAACACATGCGCGCGCGCGCACGCACACACAAACACACACACACACACTAAAAATGACAAATCTTTAAAAATGTCTTGTTTTTATATTATTTTTCCTCATCTCAAACGGACTTGTGTATGAATGCACATGTGTATGTAGTGTGCCAGTGTGTGTACTTGTGTGTGTGTGTGTGTGGTGCAATGCACTTGTATGTATATGGAGGCAAGATGCTGAAGTCAAGTATTTCCCCCAATTGTTCCCCAGCTTATCTTTTTGAGACGAGGTCTATCACTGAACCAGATGCTTTCTGGTTGGATAGACTGCCTGACCAGTGAACGCCAGAGATCTGCTTGTCTCTGCCTGCCCTATGTTAAGGTTATGGGTCAGTCATGACTATAATTGGTATTTTGTTGTTCTGATAAATAGACATGGGGATCTGAGTTCAGATCCTCATGCTTGTATGACAGAAATCTTACTGACAGAGCTCATCTCCCATAAAAGGCCTCAGCTACTGTTGACCTCCCACCTTCACTTCTAGCAATTTCCTTCACACCCTCCATGTGCTTTCTGCTGCCAAAGCACCCTGCTCTTTCTGGGCTCCTTTGTGCATGGTTCTGTGATCAGAACACTCCTCCATCCCAGCTTTCGTGCAATGTTCTCAGGTAACTTTTGTGGATACTTGGTCCTTTATCACCATCCCAAGACTAAACAAGCTCCGTTTCCTCCAGAATACAGATCCCAGTCTTACTTATATATGTAGCTGGGGAGGGGCTGTTTCCTCCCCAAATTGTAAGAGCCATAAGAGTGGCAACCACCCCGATTCAGCTCACTCTAGTATGTCCAGGGTTACAACACTGCCTCATGAAAGTACCTGGTGAGTACCTGCTGGATGGAAGGCTGGGTTCACTGGTGTCCCCTAGTCGCTGAGACCATAAGAAGTCAGAAGAGTAGTTACACAGATGTATTGATGATACAACCCTACTCCCTAGCAAATGTCAAAATAAAATATCCAGTTGTAGAGGAAACTACTTTAGCTGTTTCCCAAAAAGTCAAACACATAATTGCCATAAGACCCTGAAATCCCTCCCACTCCGGGGTGTGTAGCCCCCGAGAGAAGAGAAAAGCTATTTCACATGTAGCTTGTGCATGAGTTCTCTGCAGCATTACTTATATGAACCCCCAAGTGAAAATCGCCTAGATGAGCATCAACTGCTGTCCAGATGAGCACAGGTGCACTGGCCTGGTGTGGGAAGTCCTTCTGTATATGGGTTGTGTTTATTGGTTAATGAATAAAGAAACTGTCTTGGGCCTGGCAGGGCAGAATAGAGGCAGGTGGGGAAAACTAAACTGAATGCTGGGAGAAAGAAGGTGGAGTTAGGAGACTCCATGTAGTCGGATGAACGGAAACTTGCCGGTAAGTCATAGCCACATGGCAATATATAGATTAACAGAAACTGGTTAAATTAAGATATAAGAGTAAGCCAGC